CGGATGCCAGCGCCAAGGGCTCTCATTGCTGCATAGGGGGCTACGTTCGCCATCCTTCATTAGGTCACCGCTGGTTTCAACAAACCTTTGCTCACGCTGATTTCTTAGCTTTGGGCATTGGGGTTCAAGCTGATATGGCAAGGGAGATTTCGTGTTATGAAGCTCTTGCACAGGCAGCGCTGATACTTGCGGCATCTGCCTTGCTTCCATGCAGTTGCATCCCAATTACTCTCAGAGCTCTTTCAGACAACACGGGTGCTGAGGCAGGTGTTAACGACTCCTTGACCACAAGTCAGCCACTGTGTTTCTTCTTGGAACGGATTTCCCTTCTTGCGGCAGTGCATAGAATCACGCCTGATGTTTCGCACATACCGGGCGAGGATAATGACAAAGCTGATGCACTATCTAGACCACAAGAGCATCCCTTGCCTCACGATTGTTTGCAGCATGAGCGCATTTCAGCAACGCTTCAGGATCTTTGGCTACCGCGGCCAATGATCAGTGTGTCACCTTCTTCGGTTCAGCTTCCGTGGCAAATTCGTTCGCGTGGAGTGCCCACCAACCTCACATAAATTCGGGGTGTTTGCTTGGCGAGGTTGCTGGGTAGTTCTAGATTGGTGCGGTTGGACCACCCATCAACCTCGTAGTACCTGCTTGACTTGCTGCCCGGACTTGTGGGCATCCGGCACTCCACGGAAAAGGCAGTCCTTCTGTCGTTTTAATCCCTCCGGGATAACGCCTAGCCAGCACAACTAAAGTAGTAGAACGGTTAGTGTACTTGTTCACATCTGTTTTACTACTTTATGTTCGTGCGAACATTTGGCTCAGTTGTGCTGGCTAGGCATCTTTTCGAAATCCTCACCCACCCGCCCGTTTCACGCTACGCGGTCTCACCGGCATTGGCTACAAGAACAATTCAAGATCCCCGTAAAAAGAAAATCAAGAGTACCGGCTTCGGGGCAGCCGTATCTAGAGTGCTGTGCTTCACCATCGTTTCACACCAGCTCGTACACTTAAACCTTAGGGCGTAATATACACTTTCAAACCTGAGCCCTTTCGTTTGCTGCTACACATCGGGCTGGTTTCTTGGCCTTTGGAAGCCAACCGACATGGCCTATGGCTAAAACGCTGCAGCTTCTCTTGCATGTACTACCGCCACATATGATGCAAATGCAACTGTAACCGTTGCGTCTTTCTGTTTCGCTGTTCTTATAGCTTTCGCTTCGTTTCTGCTTAGCTACGCATATGCATCGCTTTACGCTCTTTCCAGTTGATGGTGCGGTTGGACCACCCATCAACCTCGTAGTACCTGCTTGACTTGCTGCCCGGACTTGTGGGCATCCGGCACTCCACGGAAAAGGCAGTCCTTCTGGCGTTTTAATCCCTCCGGGATAACGCCTAGCCAGCACAACTAAAGTAGTAGAACGCTGTCGTGTCAACCGGGAATCCCCACCGTCGTCGTCGCCGTCGCCGTCGTCGCCGCTCGTCGCCGCTCGTCGTTGTGGCGGTCGTCGCCGCTCGTCGCCGCGTCGTCGCGAGCATCCTATTTGGGGGGAGCATGAGGGGCTGCAGCGACTGTGGGGGCTGCAGCGACTGTGAGGGCTCGTCGCTCGTGTGGCACCGGGCAGTGCTTGAGAGGGCAGCGAAGGGCCTCTAATCCCTCGTGCTTGCCGCCGCTTCGCCGCGTCGTCGTCGCCGCGTCATCGCGTCGTCGTCCTCGCCTCTTCCTCTTGGGTGAGGAGGACCCGGCGGAGCAGGGGCGCCCATGAGACTTGCAGGGCCCGTCGTCGTCGCGTCCTCGTCGCCGCGTCGTTGTCCCCACGCCGCCCTGTCGTCCCCTATCCTCACCCCTATCCTCCTCACCGCTATCATCGCTATCCTCACCGCCTCGCCGGCGTCGTCGTCGCCGCGTGTCGTCACGTCGTCGTCTCCGCCCTATCGTCTCCGGTATCCTCCTATCCTCACCGGTATCCTCACCGCCTCGCCGCCGCATCGTCGTCGCCGCGTCATCGTCGTTGCGTCATCGCGTCGTCGTCGCTGCGTCGCCGCGTCGTCGCTGCAGCCAGCCCTGCGAGAGCGGCGACGACGGCACGGCAACGAAGGGTGGCGGCGAGGGCAGAATTGGGAGGATTGAGAGGATAGTCGCTGCGCCCCATATGCCCTCACTGCCACTCACAGCTCCTTTATTCCGGGTGCATCCTGACCCAAAGATGAGGAGATGACGCGACGGGATTCAGGTGAGGAGGGTGATGCCGCGGATGTGGGGGATAGTGTGGGGGGCTGCAGTGACTGGTGAGGGCAGCCTGTTGGAGCCGGAGCTGCACGGCAAAAAGGCTGCAGGAACGGAGGCTGCAAAACCGGGATATGTGGAGACCTGAAACTGGAGGCCTGGAGGCTGGGTGGGCAGAACATGTGTGGGGCTGCAGCGACTCGGTGCACCGAGCCCTGTCCCCACCGCCACCCCAGATGTGCATGGCTGCGCCTCAAGCCCGCCCCTATTCCCGGCAGGTCTTTCCACCATTTCTTCGTTTTTCATGGTTTGCAGGGGGCGCTGATGAGTCCCCAAAAGCGAACGTGGAAAACATGGAAAAACGAAGCTCCTGGACATCAAAATCGGGTTCGAGTAGCTTCGTCCAAAAATCGAGTATTAACAACATGGAAATCGTGGAAATCGTGGAAAAACGAAGCTCCTGGATTGGGCTCGAGACGCATGGCCCAGAATCGGGGATGGAAAAGCTGGAAGTGGAGCCCTCGCAGGCATGTTTTGCCATGCTTTCCATTATTTCCCTGCGCGAGCCTGTTTTAGGTGCCCCTGGAAACCCTGGAAACGGTGGAAAGACCTGCCGGCAGTGGAGGCATGAACCTGTTGGCTCAGCTGCTGCAAAGTCCTCAGAAATAGTTAGAGTCCGCGCCTGAGCTCAATGCCGCCCTTCAGGCAGTTGCAGGAGGGTTTCAGTTTGCTTTCGGTTTGGATGTCGTCTTTGGTGCCAACCAGCCAGGGAGCTTTGGGCCACAAAACTGTCCGAATTGTAACAGCACGTGCCGAGCGGCAGTTCACTGCAGCGCCGTGTGCCCGGGATTGAAGTCATCAATTTCCGGCTGGTGTCCTTCTGCAGGCACCACGCCGTCCGGCAGCGCCGCCAGGCCCGGGTCTCGTTTCCGAGACCGGCCGCCCACGTCACCGTCGCCGCCCTTATCGGGCACCGCTTTCGTGACCGCCAAACGTCCTTGTTCCGTCCCGCAAGGTTGCACGCGCCTTCGTCCTGAGACGGCCCGTTCGAGCTTCTCGAGCCTCTTGCAGACGCCTCAGAGCACCACGAAAAGCTTCTAGTAGTCTAGTCGAGAGCCATCTCTCCCGTTCTTGGTCTTGCACATCGTCTGGCCCAGAATCCTGCACGTCCAGCGCGACAAACCGATCTGGTCCTTGGGCCCGATGCGATTGTACAGCTGTGGCTCCACAAGGTTTGCTGCAGGAGGTCCTGGCTCCTTGAGGCCCAGCGTCGCTGAGGTTGACGAAGCCGTAGCCAAAAATGACCTCGCCGCTGTTGCCTCCCCCGATGTTGGGCTAGGCTGTTGTTGAAGCTGATGAACTGCTGGAAGGGTTTGAGCTGCACCTCACCGCCCGCGAACGCTTTGAGCTCGGCCACCATTTTGGGCGTCGGAGTCTAGAGTCCTTAAAGAATGAGCGAGGCGTCCCAGTGAATCTTGGCCTTAAAGTATGCAGTGCCTCGCTGTGTCTGCTTCAGGCACGAACACCATGTTTCCCGGAGTCCCGAGGTCGTAGCTGGTCAGATTGTTGTCGTTGGGCAAGGTTTGGCTCGGAATTGCACTTTGGCTTTGCTGCTTGATTTCGGGGTCGATTTCCGAAGACATGGTTGCACGTTTTGGGTCGCGTGCCGCTAGGTGCGGGGCAGGTTCCACAAGACGCGCAGGTAGTTTCCAGACATCCAGGTGAGAGGGCCTGTGAGGGTTTGACGGGCAGGACTGTGCTGCCATTAGCCAGGCGGGTCGCTTTGTCCACGACAATGTTGGCTGGAACTTGCATGTTGCTGATTTTTGTAGCAGGCGGCGGGCATTTTCTGTCATCCGAGCATGCGTGCGCCGCAGCAGTGTTGGCTGTAAGGGCTTTTTGGCGACACAGGGCCTACAGGGTTTTGGGTTGGCTAGTCAAAACACGTCCGTCAGAGTGAGCAGTTGGAGATTCATAGCGCGGATGTTTTTTCAGCTATTGCAATTTTCGCATGAGTTTTGCATGCTGGCTTGAAACCCTTTGCATCCGTTTTGGCAAGAGTTCTTGGAGCGGTTTTTGTGATTTCCAATGTTTTCGTGATTTTTGCATGGTTTTGACATGGATTTTTGTTGACTTGGCATGTGCTTGACTCTTGGCATGCAGGACCACACGAAGCAACACGACAGCACGGCAAGCACAGCAAACTGGCAAGCACAGCAAGCCTTGGCGCAGGGGGTAGTGATCGAGCGCTGGGGACCACGGAGGCTTGAGGGTTGCCTTTGGGGTTGCAGGTGAGCTGAGGCTCCTTGGCAGCCAAGTCTGCAAGTTTGCGCTGCAAGGCTCCACGGAGTTTCAGGGGTTGGGGTTTTGAGGCAGCGAGGTTTTGGTTGTGTGCTGCAAGTTTCAGGGTTGGTTTGGTTGCAGTCTGGGGGGTGAGCTCTGAGGCGTTCAGGTTCGGTCGTGCTGCGCTGTCCTTGCCCCTCTCTTCTGCCCGACCCCGGTCTCGCTGCCGGCTCTGAGTGATGCGTGAAAGGGCGGTAGGAAGTGCAAGCAGTGCAGCTGGGAGCAGAGGGGGGTTTTTCTAGGAGGGCTGGAGTTCGACTGGCAGTTGCCCATACTCCTGGGCCAGGAGGCACCGAGGTCTTGTCCTCAGAGAGCTTCCACCCAAGAAGTCTCATAACCTCGTCAAAGGCCTGCGAGCAAGAGCCTCTGTCCCCACCGAGGGAGCCGAGGTGAAGATGAAATTGTGAGGTCACGGGCTGGGTGGTTGATGGAGGCAGGGGTTGGGGGCTTTACCCGTGAATCTCCTGTGCAGAGAGATGCTTGCCATGCATCCTTCTGGATCTCGCTGTACTGGCAGGCGATATCACGGGTCCTTTGTCAATGCACTCTGCATGTGGCACCCAGATACTTCTGGACCAGCGGCCAAACCGAAGATGATAGAAGGGGGTCGGGGATCAGGGCTTATTTGATGTCATTCAGTCTCTTCTGCTCGAGCCTTCTTGAGGACAGCTATAGGACGAGGGCAGCCATGGCAAGGACTCCAGCGTCGCGCAAGATTGGTCGCGTTCTGGCGCTGCTGGCATTGTTTTGGGCCTGTCAGCCAGAGCCTAAGACAGGTGCTTCCCAGTGTTAGAGAGGGTTTCTGAGCAGCTTCAGGCCAACCGTGCACACTGCCGTTGGAGCCCGGGCCGTCCCCTTTGCAAGGCGGGATGTGACAGCATGGTGCATCGAAGAGCAGAAAGCCAAGCGAGGCCTCCTGCGGGCGCGTGGGCGCGTAAGCCCCTCATTGCACGCAGGGCCACGAGCGAGGTGGGGTCCAAAACTGAAAAGACTGTGTCAAGCCCGTCCGGAGAAGCTCAGGCTGACGACAAGGAAGATGATGAGGCAGGAATGGTTTGTCGGTTCGGAGTTCGGAGTGACACCCCTGCTTTGCTGCAAGGTGAGCAAGCTTGCCAAAGAACACGATGAGGTTCAGAGCTACGACGCAGATGAGGTGCTTTGCGTCGTTCTTATGTCGTTCCCTTTAGTCCTGCCCTGGCTTTCTCTGAAGCGTCGCTTGTAGGTGCTTGGATGGGTCCGACAAGTCTCTGCCCCCAAGGTCGGAGATGACGAGCGTTGTGCTTGCGGAATCTCAAAGCACCTGCTCCGAGGACATCGTCGAGTTTGAAAAGCAAGAGTACTCCGGGGAAACCCTGCTGGAGAAGAGCGCAGCAGAATTGGACAGAATGGTCAAATTGCCAGACGGGCCAAGACAGAAACTGGTGAAGCACATCAAGAAGCTGAAAGCGGCCGCCGCCGCTCGACTGCACACGTTGCCGTTGCTGCCGGGCAGCCGCAGTCTCGGAGCAAGCTGAGGCCGTCAGAGATTTCAAGAAGAAGCTTGAAGATGAAGGCGCTGATGAGGCCCGGGGGCTTGGGAGTGTAGCCGTCCAGCACGGGTTGAGCCGGCATAGGATCGAATCACGATGGTCGGCGGCGGCCTCGGGGCCGTGGGAAACGCGAGCCAGATGTGGTGGGGACGGCGCTGGCAGGTGACATGCTGAAGACGCTGGTCGAGCTCAAGGCCAACGACCTCTTGAAAGCAGACGCTCGCCCACTGGTTGTGCTACGGGGAGCTCTGCAGTTCAGCATCCCTGTTGACTTTCTTTCGGCAACCCAGAAAGCCGAGGCCATCGAGGTAATCAAGGAGCAGCTAAAAAATCGACTGGACGATCAGGCCAGGCTGTTCCTTGAAGTTGTCTCCAGAGCACGGGTTGCGCCGGCATAGGATCGAATCACGATGGTCGGCGGCGGCCTCGGGGCCGTGGGAAACGCGAGCCAGATGTGGTGGGGACGGCGCTGGCAGGTGACATGCTGAAGACGCTGGTCGAGCTCAAGGCCAACGACCTCTTGAAAGCAGACGCTCGCCCACTGGTTGTGCTACGGGGAGCTCTGCAGTTCAGCATCCCTGTTGACTTTCTTTCGGCAACCCAGAAAGCCGAGGCCATCGAGGTAATCAAGGAGCAGCTAAAAAATCGACTGGACGATCAGGCCAGGCTGTTCCTTGAAGTTGTCTCCAGAGCACGGGTTGCGCCGGCATAGGATCGAATCACGATGGTCGGCGGCGGCCTCGGAGCTGTGGGAAACGCGAGCCAGATGTGGTGGGGACGGCGCTGGCAGGTGACATGCTGTCGGCGCTGGTGAAGCTGGATGCAAAGACTGTGATGAGTTCAGCTCTTCAGGATCCAGATGTCCAATCGGTCGCTCAGCCGCACGCTTTATGTTCTTGCCGTTCGGGGTCTGAGCTGTGGATCCGCCTGGCCCAGGTGTTGGAGCAGGCCTGTAACGCAAGCAGAGACGATGTGGACAGCTACGGACCACTTCAAGTAGCTGCATGGATTGCAGCAAACCTGGTTTCTGCCAAGTACGACGCTTCTGCGATCCAACAGGCCAGGGGTGTAAACTCGTTTGTACCATCCGACCGTTCAGTCTTTTTCCTTGTTTGAGGCACTTGCGAAGCTGACTGGGATGTTGTCTCGACAGCTGCTCGAAGTCCACCAAGATCAGCTCGAGAGCCGGTACAATCTAGAGGCTGCGAAAGCGGCGTTCCTGTTCAATGCGGTTCAAGCCTTAAGCGATCCTTTGGCCACTCTGGCATGAACTAGTCACGCTTCTTTTGGCGGGCCTGTTTTGTGGTCAGTGTCACGCCAGTTGGCATGTTTCAGGGCAGCCCGTGTGCTGAAAGGTGTTGACCTTTCGGGACCTCGTGAACGACAGCAGCTATCCAGAGTTCCAATACAAGCATGTTTGGGTGTACAGGCTCCTAACTGACATACCAGAATGTGGGTACATTGAAGATGCGCAGCTCTTGACAAGCACAGTCGGCGGCGAAGTGGTGGATGTGGCAATCGGAAGCAGGACGGGCAAGCGCTGTATTTCCGTCTTCTATGGTGAAAGTGGCAGTGGGAAGAGCCTTCAGTCTCAGCTTGCGCCAGCCCTGAAGTTAGGCAATAATTCCTGCATAGTTCGTGTCTTCAGCAAGACTATTGACGATGACGACCCAATCCTCACGAGCATCAGGCAGGAACACGCGCAAGGTAACGTCGAGAATCGCGATGCCTTGTGCATGAATTGGACTCTCACCATGCTCTTTGCACAGATCAAGAGTGCTTTTTGGCAACATGCTGATGTGGTTGAGGCATGGTTGGACAATCCAAGCCAGAACAAACAAGACCTTGGCACCATCGTGTTTGTCATCGATGAGGTTAGCAAGTGCATAGAACTAGCTCGCGGGATCTCTAGAAAGCAAGATGACATCTACACCACGCTAGAACAGAAGTATTGCCTCTCTGCTCAGCTTGTCATGGCAGGAACGGCTGCGGCATACATTCTGGGCACTCCAGGTACAAGTGTGCTCAGTACCGATCCAGAAAGGGTTTGCATGACGCACGTTGGCCTCGTCCAAGGCTCGAACTATCTCCGCAGCCTGCTGACACAGTTAGACAAGCAGACGGGCGTGCACTTGAAGGACTTGCAAGTCGCGTCCGTGCGCCCATACCTCAGCAATGCCCGAACGGCATGGTTCCTGATTGAAACACTGCGGCGTTTTTTTGATTGGGCACCAGAGGATGTCAGCCGCAAGATGGCAAGCTCAATTTGGAAGCGCTACCCAGCAGCCACGGGCTGCTATGTGCCCTTGATGTACAGAACAACGAACGGCTTGCAGCGATTGAAGACTGCTGAACAGCGTGAAGGCATTGCCAACCGGGCGCTCAAACTTTTGATGCACGCCGACCTTCTGACACCAGACACGATGCCGACGCTTCGGGAAGCTGTAGAGTGTGTAAGCCTTGGGCTGTGCAATGTTTCAAATTATAGCGAAGCCCAAAGTCTCCTTGCTCAAGATGGGCAAAGCAAGACGTATCGGAAGGACCTCATTTTCCAGTCTTCACCCGCTTTGGCACACATGCTGTTGGCAGCTTTCGATGTGCCGGAGGTAGTCCCGCAGGACGGGGATTCGCTGGAGGCAGTCATAATGGAAGCGGAAAGACGCTTCTCAGAGGTGCTGACGGGCCGGAAGGCCATCGCTTTGACTCTACCGCATGCGCTGCCTCCGCAGCTTGACCAGCCGAACATGACAGGCCTGCCGCTAGCACAGTTTACGGAGATTCTGGGAGCATTGAATGCCAACCAGACAGTGGTGCTGCGCAATGGGCCCAGTGCTCAAGGTGCTGACATTATCGTTCTTCGGCGGAAGCATGAAAGCAATATGCCCTTTGTTCGCCTGATACAGGCGAAGAACAAAAACAAGAAAGCAGATATGCTTTCAGCTATCTCAACACTGGGAGTCGCATGCCACAACAAAACAGCCGCACGTCGCGCCTTGCATCGAGCTGCAGAAGTTCTTGGATGGCTGTGCCGACTTGTGTCAGAGCAAGCTGGCCGTAATGCGTCGGAGCTTGGGGAGTTCAAGGGGCCCAGGACTAAAGTTAGCGTGTCCGTCGAGCTGGTGCTTTGGGAGAGTATCCGCCGCAACGAGGCTCCTCCTACTTTGCGTCGACCACGGTTTTTGCAACAGACTCCTACGTTCCGGCTGAGGAGCTTGCAACATTTGGCTCCGTTTCCTACACATATAGCGCGCCCCGATAGCAACTATGTTGCGCAGAAGCAGTGGCCAAAGAAGAAGAGGTCGGGAAAGTCGCCGGCAAAGAAATCATCAGCAAGCAAACGATAGAGGACAGTGCTGTCGCTCTTGCATAGAGCATCATTCGAAAAAGGCGCGCTCTATTGCTGGTGTGGCATTCGAGTAAATAGTCTTGGTCATCACTCAAGAGCTTGCATGTTGCCTTGTTCCTCAGAGCACGTTCTGGTTCGGAGCTGACGGCTGCATGATTTTCACTCAGGTCCCAGCGGGATGCTGTCATCCAGGCTGGTGCGACGCAGCAGCTGTTAGTTGCAGGCATGAATTGCCCTGTTATGAGGGGATGCTCTAGAAAGTGTCAACACAGCATTTTTGGGCAGGCTGCCAAAATGCTTGGTTGAGGCTACTGAGCTGCGGGCAGTTGTTCGCGGCGTGGAATGCGCACGTAGCCGTTTTGCCTGGTTTCCAGGAAAACGCATTTTTGCAGGGGGTGGAAAACCAGAAATGGGTTAAGAGATCCCCCCTCTCTTAGCCTTGGGGGGGGGCAGGAAATGTAGAATAGCGAAGTTCCTGTTCAATGCGGTTCAAGACTTAAGCGATCCTTCGGCCACTCTGGCATGAACTAGTCACGCTTCTTTTGGCGGGCCTGTTTTGTGGTCAGTGTCACGCCAGTTGGCATGTTTCACGGCAACCCGTGCCCTAGGCTGAAAGGCATTGATCTTTCTGCACATCACGCAAAAGGAGACGTATGTCTCCTACAACCATGATAACAAAGTATGGGTGTACGGCTCTCTTTTGACCAGCATTCCTGAATGCGGCTACGTCCGAGATGCGCAGAAGCTCACAAGCACAACTGGTGCAGCGGCGATTGTCGTGGACAGCATGAAGGTTGGGAAGCGCAGTATCCCTATTTTCTATGGGGAGAGTGGGAGCGGTAAATCAGTGCAGGCGATGCTTGCGCCGGCTCTGAAACTGGCGGAGAATTCCGGATCGACAGTGCGCGTCTTTTCTATTAGCTGACAAACTGACGATAGCCTGGACAAACGACTGGAGAATATCAAAGCCGCAAGCAGCGTCTATCAGCGCAACAGACTTTGTACAGATTTTGTTGTCGACAGCTTCATCGATGCGGTCCGGAAAGCCTTTCCTAAGCAGTACAGAGATACTATTGTCAATACGTGGCTTGAGGACGAGAATCGTAACAAAACAGCTCTGGGAGTCATTGTCTTCATACTTGATGAAATCGGCAAATGTTTGGAGCTGGCTCGTGGCGTAGCCAGCGCACGAGATGCAATCTACGACAAACTTGGCAACTACTGTGACGCAGCTTTGTTGGTCATGGCAGGAACATCTGCTGCCGCCATTCTGGGACCAGTTGCAGGGTCTGCTGATATTTCCGCAGATCCAGCCAGTGTTTCTTTAGTCCGGGTGGGTGACGTCCAAGGTGATGCTTACTTGCAAAAGCTCTTAGACGCGACGCTAGCACTACAAGGGTTCAACTTGTCAGACGAAAGAAGTGTTAACTTCTTGCGACCTTGCCTCAGCAACGCGAGAACTGCGTGGATACTCTTTGAGGAGTTGAGGCGATTCGCAGAAGTGCCAAAAGAAGCAACTATCGAAGAAACAGCAGGAATCAGACAGAGCTTTGCCGAACTACGTCAGGAAAGACGCCTTGCGGTCATGAATACCATGTTCCGGAAAGATAATGCCACGTGAAAACTACACATAAAACTGCGACACAATCGCATGTGGGCTGCAGTTGCGGATCATGTGTCCTCAACGACCGTGGAGCGGCGTGGCAGGATGCAGCTTGGGGCCCTCCTCTCTCGCCCGAGGTGATGCAGGCGCCAAGGAGGTGGCGGAAAGCCTGCGGAATCTGCAGCAGCTCACAGAGCTCCATCTGGATCTGGACAAGACCGAGGTCGGCTCGGGTCCCGGAGGGAGACTGGGGGTGGTGTCGGGGTGTGCTCTTGCTTTCAATGTTTTCGTGAAGAGCGGGGAGATGCTTTTTTGCTTGCAAAGGGATACTTCGTGGGAGATAGATCTGTTTTGAGTCTGATCTTCAGACAAGCTTCTGTTTCTCCTCCGTTTGCCATTGCAGCCGTGCCCCGTGCAAGTCGCAATGCAATCGCCACGTCGAAATCTGAAGAGCTGGATGTCTGCCGAATGTCCCACCTCCTCCCCCCGGCCAAGGCCCAGCAGGCACCACACATGTGGTGGAAAGCCTGCAAGATCTGCGGCAGCTCGAAGACCTGTGGGTTTGGCTGCCTGAAAAGGAGCTCGGCCCGGGGCTTGGGCGCCCGCTCCGGCCGTGTCGTCCTCCGATTTAATTGAAAGGAGCGGGGAAGCCCTTCCTTCAATGGCTCCAGTGACCCCATCTCTGCGACCTTTTACCTTAGAGTGATAATTATCATGTGGGTGGTCGTCAAAATTGTCCTTATCATAATACGGTACCTAGTACTTAGGGTACCCAGAGAGGGGCCATAATTTTGACAACCACCCATATTTATCATATTTCATTTCCAGCCTTTCGGCCTGAAAGAGATCCACTATCAAAGAGCCACGCCAGGCGCTTTGTGAACGCATACCTGTGGTTTTCAAGGCGAGACGGAGAAGGAGAAGCTCCGGGCCACCTTCAATGCGCTGCCGGCAAGGAAGAAGGCTCTCAAGCTATCGAGGCCGGTGGATGTCGGTTTAGGGTTTGGGGATGTTGAGGGTTTCTGGCATATGCATACTCCCGGTGTAAAAACGTTTAGGGTTTGGAGTGGCTTCGACTCCCCAGGGGCTCCAGCGGCCGATGATCCTGAGCGAGCAAGGGCTCCAAGAGCTTGTGAATGAGGCTCTTGGGTTTCCTTCTTGGCAGGATCTCGAAAGAGCCATGCGGCTCAAGACTTTCCACAAATGTCAGAAGCGCAAGCGTTCAAATTGCTAAAGTGTTTTTAGAAGCGGTGCATCTCGAGACTCGAAGCCTCCACAACCTTGCCGGAGAGCTTCAAGACGTCTGCAAGAGCTTGTCTATCAGAATCGCAGACCGCCGCAGACGGAAATGCCATCATCCGGTTGTGGGATTCTGGTTTGGGACCGGGCTGACGCCTGTTTGCGCTACCTCAAAAATTCATCCTTGTCACAGTGTTCTGTCACGTGGGCATGGAGCCCCTTCACACTCCCGAGGCTCCTATTAAGTGCAGAGGTCTTCTGATAGGTCTTCTGTTCACCATTGCTAGAAGTCGGCACCAAGAGCACCGTGACATCGTGGCTCATCGAAGGGAACAAACGGCGACTTGGTGGCCGCTTCGGCTCGCAGTACCCCACGACCCGACGCCCACCCATGGCAGCTGACATTTGCTACCATCCACTATACTTGGTGGCCGTCAACCGTTTGAACAGAAGCCATCGTGGCAGATGAAGCATCCGCCACATGAAGTCACGCCAGAACACATTTGATAGCTTACAGCGTCAGGGGCGGGGCGGTTTATCTGCATCTCCGTGGCCTCCCCAGCAGACAGGAGAGCCAAGGCCAGCAGAGTTCGCAACCGGCACGGTCGCCATGATCTGCAGAATTGCTCCCCAAAGCCGCGAGCACTGCTTTCTAAGCACTGGGACCCCGAACGCTTTCAGAAGCTCAAGATCCGGCCTGCCGGTGCACAGGCCTTGGCCAAAGCTGCCGGGCCTGGGCCAAGCCGAAGGTGGGGGGCATCGTTGCTTCGTGGTCAGCGGTCTGGGTTCTCTTTGGCGACGCCTTACATAAACGACAAGAGTACCAAACTGTTCCTGCGCCGATGCCCGGAAAGGAACAAAAGCCCCAAAGTCTTTGCGAACGGCGCGGAAGCTCACAGGCTTGTCCAAGCATTCATCTCGCTCATCTACAGGGTGGAGGCTCGACCCGCTGGCTTCGGGGTGCTTCGGGCTCGACAGGATGCTGTGCAACACACAGGTGCGATTACAGGCTCCAGCGGTCAGTAACTCAAACTGAATCCAGGCGAAAAGCATTGCTCACATCAACGAACCCAGGCGTCGAGATCCCCCCACCCCCACTCCCTTTAACTTTCCACGCCAATCCTGCCGCCCTCCCTCCCCCCTTCAAAACAAAGGGGATCTCTTTACTGTTCTTCCCGACGGCCAGGCCGAAGGCCAGGGCTCGGATGGCGACTGAGGCCCCGATGGGCCGTTCTGTCTTTTTTTGTTGTTCTCGGGGTTTTGGAATTGTGGAGTTAAGTTGGTTATGAGGTCTACAGGGTCTATAGTTGTCCCCTTCCGTCGGGTCTGGGTTCTGGTACTCTTTGCTTGTGCTCGTCTGCCGGCATTGTGGACGTTTGGGGCTTCCCTGCGTGTTCCAAGTTTCGATGGAATTGTTGGTACTGTTTTCCGGCTCCGGAGGGCTGAGGTTGAGGATTGACGAAGGCCGGGGTGCACGGATGTATACGCGGCTCCGTGAACGGCTGAATTTTGGGTTCGCAGAGCCTGAAATGCATGAAAATGCAGAGAAGCACTGTCCAGCGCAATCCGGGAATCCCTCAACCCGAGGCCGATAGCACGGAGCGGCAGACAAGAGACAAAAGCAATCTTCAGTGACAATGCCGACAGAATCGAAGTGCACTGTCAGATCCAGGTGTCCGAAGGTGGTACAGCAACTAGAAAGCAGCAGCGAAGCTCGCTGCTTGTGTTACCAGCATTCACACTCGCCAGGTTCGGGAGGAGCTGGAAAGAGTGTCTGCAGAAACATTCTGCGACATCGTCGACAGCCTTCGAGGCTGGCAGATGTGCATTGGCACCTGGCAAAGTACAGTGTGGGGCTGTGACTGACGGCTGTTGGGAGCACCTGTTTGCAAGGCACTGGTATCACAGCGGAGGAACTTCAGGCGGAGCGGTCTTGTACAATGAGTCTGTGTCTTCACCTGAATTAATGTAAAGTGGAGCCCAGGCGCTTTTGCAAGAAGTTCCCACCGATGGCAGCGCACTCTGTGAGCTCTTGCCAACAAGCATTAGTGTGCCAAGGCTTCACAGAAACCAGGCCGAAAGCAACAAACCTCGCAAAAACCTCAATTTCTGTAGAGTTTGTTGACCCTAAACTCTGCGAGTCAAAAGCAGCACCGAGGCGAAGGCCTGCTGAGCTGCCGGAAGCTCGTCCTCCGCCTCCAGAGTCGGGACGCTCGCGATCCCGCTGACGTGGGCACGGGCCTGCTGAGCCGAGCCTTCGGACGCTGCTTCCCGGGTCGCCCCAGCGAGCCTGGAGAGGCTACCGGGCGGCTCCTGTTTTACTGGAAGAGAGGCTTCTTTGTTCCTTTGTTCCAATGTCGCGAAGCTTACGAGGACGTGGTTGGATTCCAGAGAGTGCAGAGAAGTTCAGTTTGACTCGGTGACCGTTGACCCTATTCAAACATTATAGAAACCACAGCTGGGGTTCTGGGGGGCGTCGTTTTCTTTCCATCGCCCGAAATGAACATTCATTATCCTTCGTCGTACAGGATTTGAGATTGAGGTCCTCGGAGCTCCTAAGAAGCGTTGTCCATGCCAGGTTGACCAGGGTGTGGCCGATCAGGCACTTCAGGCCGAGGCACAGGAGATGTCAAAACACCATGTCTTCGAAAGAGTCGAGCCTTGTCCAAGCCAGGGAGTTTTGCCGCAAGTACCTTCCGATCGCGGGTCCCCCAGTCTGGCCACCCACGATGCTGGACCTGGCTGTTCCGAAAGGTCTTGAATGCTTCTGACAGTTCATTGAAGATTTCGAGAACTGTGAACAGCAAAAACCTCGACTCGTAGACAAAATCACCCCGAGCCTGGGCAGCCTGCCAAGGCGATGGCCAGGTGAGCAAAGAGCTGGAGGGCTCCCTGCCGAATCGTGTGCATCAGGAAGACCGGGCTCGAGCCCAAGAGGGCTTGGCTCGGGCGTTCGATCTGTTGCCGTATCTCCGGCGATCCGATCGCTCCGAAGCTAAGGGACCGGACGATGGCGAGAAGCCGATGGAGACGAAACTGCAGCGGCTGGACGCCCAGAAACGGAAAGCGAGGGGAGGATCTCGCCTGGGATTGTTCGAAGAGTTGCCGAGGAGAGGCTCATGCGACCACTCGGATCCGGGTACCTTCAAAATAGCCGAAGCCTTCCTTCTTCACGTCATGTGGTCTCTTGCAGAACCGGGCAAAGGGTTCAGAATCGAGGCGAAGGAGTACGACTTAGCTGACAAGAACAAGCTGGCAGACTTCCTGGAGGATGCAGACATTCAACTGGTGCCATGGGCTCGTGGGCTGGCAAGCATGCACCAGACGCTACAAACTGGGACGGGATTTGCAGCTATGTCTAGGAGCGTCGCCGGGATAGCTTGTTATTTTCCACAAGGTGGACATGGCTCAGGACGCGGAATCTCCACCATGACCTCGAAGCCATTAGCTGATTTGGCCTTTGATCCATCCCGGTCGCCCGTCCTTCGGTAAGATAGCGCTGAAGCGTTTCATGAACGAGGGAACCGGAGAACAAGATTCTGGCTTATTTTTCCCACGCCAGGGTGGTCCAGGCAAGCGGAGGATCTCCAAGGATGCTCTCCACGTCATCGTCAGGAACCTTCAAGGCCCGGACCCCTGCCAGGTGAGTCCCCCGAGCTGCCAGTTGGGGTTTTCGCATTCCCTCAGCCCCATCCAGGCGACCGTCTCACTGTGGACATGCTCCAGGCAGGGACTGCACGCCTGGTTTGTTGCATATGCCCCGAGCAACTCGGTCAGGACATCTTGCAAGAAGTTGTTCCCGATCGTTGGGAGCTCAGAACTGCTGTGTGCTGTGCGGTCGGTCTGGGGTAGATGCTTCCTTGCTTCCTTGCGATGCTTCCTTTCGGAGGCGAGGGGCTGCTGAGCTGCGAGGAGTTGGCACGCTGCCTCCGCCGTCCCGCTCCAGCTCCAGAGCCGCAAGAGGCCGGGGGCGTGAGAATGAGCGGGTTTCGTGAATCTTTCACCCAATGCGATGTCGCCCAACACCTGCGCCAGGCCAAGCGCTTCGACCTGGCGCAGAAGCCGGGGCTCGCGGACTTCCTGAAAGATGCGGACATCCGCTTGGTCCACACCCCGGGCTGCAGTGTTGCAGTCTGCAAAGGTCTGCAGCCTGCGGTCTTTCCTGTCGTGCGTGGAAATCCGCATGTGATGGATCATACCCCTGACAGTTTTGCTGTGTGGAGCACTTAAGCGTCCTGCCCAGGTGCGTGCCGACTTCATTTTGAAACTGCACCGGGAAGGACAGCGTCTCCCGCGCCGGCAGGAAGCGGAGTCCGCCTACGTGGACAGCCGCACGGCACTTGTCACGCACGAGGAGGTCCCACTGCAACCTGCACTTCCCTCAGTTATCCCAGTGATTGTCAATCTTTGGAGGTCCAAGCCTGGGCCGATGGCAAGGCGCCTGAAGGCACCCAGATTGTCTCGCTGTCCCACTGCTGGGAGTCGAGGGAACACTGTGATCCGTACGGATACCAGGTTGCCAAGCTAGCCAAGGCTCTTACGGGAAAAGAATGGCTGTTCATCGATTATGTATCCTTGTATCAGTTCCAGCGACTCTCCCAGAAGCAGAATGTCAGCTTCGGGCGTGCGATGCAGCACATGCATGTGCTGTACTGCCACGACAAGACGAGCAGCCTCCGAATCGAGTCTCTGACGCCGGAAGCAGACATAGCAAAAGCCGAGCGAAAGCAAGACTGTGTGATGATGTATCACCACCCCACCGGCCTGGTGAAACCAGTGCCGGTCACTGAATTGGTCAAGAACCGCACGCCGTACAAGCAGCGTGGGTGGTGTGCTGCGGAGAGGGAGTGGTCCAGTACTCGCACAGCCACCAACCTTTCGCGTGAAGTAGATGCTCCGGAAGGTGAGAAGGGCGGAAGTGCCCCGATGGTGCCAGAGGCATTTCGAGAGAACGTGGCACACCAGCTGAAATTCACGCATTTAGATGACGTAGAGACCGTCTGCAGATTGCAAGCGGAAGTGTACAAAGAGAAAGCAGAGATGTGCAAGAGCTTAAGGCTCGTAGACTTGCGCGCAGAAGCGCTCGACATCGCCCTGTCGGCTCTCGAGCGCTACCCGGTGCTGGAGCGCCTCGGCATGCAAAGCACTGCCCGGGCTTGAAGGCTTGAATCGAAGGCAAGGCTAAAGCAGCCCCGGACTAGACCGCCGTCACTTTCAGGAGCCTGGAGATCGTCCATTGTGAGCTCACCCCCAAGCTCCGGCTGCTGGTGAAGGCCTTCGGGCTCGCTGCGGCTCTTTGCGGACCCCATTAACTCCCGCTCTGACTGTCTCTCACCCTTTCGTCGATTGTGCAGCGTGGCCACGCCTGCCAAAACCGCAGTGCAGCATGCGAAGTGCATGTGCAGGGTATGTGATTCGACAGCGGTCGCGCGCGGTCGCCGGCTTCTCCCAACCACTTCTCGACAGGTCGTGGAGGAGAGGAAGCTCCAGCAGCTCCACCTGCAGCAGAACGAGCTTTCTGAGGAGGGCACCTGCCTGGTCATTAAGGCCCGCCGCCAGTTGCCCATGCACGCATGCTGATGCCGTGGCTTACATTGAGCGGCACGTTCGCTTGCGTTATGGAAGCTCGAGGCTTCTGAGGGTGTGTGCACACACTGGCTTGAACATCGCGAAGATGCACTCCAGGCTTTGGCTTTGCGGCCCAAGGGGACGCTTGCGGCACTCAGCCTCAGCCACGACCGCATCGGCGTCGATGGTGTCAAGGCTTTGGCTGAGGCCTCGAGCTCGAAGATGAGCGGGATCGGATTCAGCGTCCTTCTAGACACGATTGCCCGCCCCAATCCTTTTGCGGACCGAAGCCGAAGCGCAATGCCTGCAACTCTGCACGTAGGCGGTGCGGACGAACGAAGCTCTGATCGAGCTGAACCTGAGCCACGTGTGCCTAAACAGCGATGGCATCATCGCTCTCGCAGAGGCCCTTGGACCAGTTACCGCCGAAAGGAATAGTCGCTGTCTGTGGCTGTGGCTGCAAGCAAACCCCGTCATCGCGTGCAGGCAGTCAAGCAGAATCGGGCCCTCAAGCAGCTGAGCGTTGAGGGAGCCAAGCTTGAAATTGCGGAGGAAGGCGCTTTCGTCCTTGCTGAGGCTGGCGGTTTTATACTGTTGTAGTTTCAGCAAGCTCACCACTACCGCAATGAATCTGAACCTCCGCCCAACCTGCAGCTTACTTACACCCACGCTGCCCTAAACCCAAACCCTCACCCTTCCCGGCAATCTGGAGCACCGCTCTGCAGGCGCTCCGGGTGAGCGGGGTCCAGCTCGATCTGACGGGCAGCGATTTGGGCAACGGGGTCGCCGTGGCATTGGCCAGGGCCTTGCGGGCCGGCCAGGCGGGGTGACGAGAGCTCCCGGCGCGTCTTCTTCCCTCTCTCTCTCTCTCTCTCTCTCTCTCGCTCTCGCTCTCGCTCTCGCTCTCGCTCTCGCTCTCTCTGTCTCTTGCAGCTTCCCATCTTCGATGGCTGTCGCTGTGGCTGTTTTTTGCTTCAGGTGAAGGGCACCGTCACCCATCCAGTGGTGGAGTTCCTGCGCATGTTGGAGGCTCGGGCGCTCTCTTTGAAGTGCGGCAAGTTCTTCAGCCTTCAGCCCTTCGGGAACGAATTAAGCCGACGGCAGGACCTATAGGCGCAAAGAATCTTCCAAACACCCTATAACGACTCCTAAGTACCGGAAGCCTTCTACATCCCTCTACCACCCCACCCGATACGAGCTTCTTAACCACCTTTGCTCGTTTCCTTGTGTCAATTTTACAGTGCCCGGCGACGGGGCCACGGCCGCTGCGCGCAGGACAGAAAGTTCAAAAAGCTCGAGGAAGCGCAAGAGCTCTCGCTCAATCTCAACCGGAGCAGCCGCCAGCTCAGCTCCGAGCCCCGTGGCTGCACTGCGGAAGATCCCTGTGGCCCCGAGGCGAGAAGTTCGATCAGCACTTCCATCCGCTCTGCCGGGCCCTGCCAAAGCTCCCGCCGCTCCGAGAGCTCGAGCTCCTCCTCCACGGCCACCACGACGCCTTCGGCCCCGGCCCCGGCGGCTTTGGCGGTGCGGCGGGCAAGGCTCCTCTTCTTTCCGGCTTTGCCAGGCGATGACGAGGCCCGAGCCCTGGCCGCGGGCCTCGGCGAACAAAAGGAGTTGCAAAGGCTGCAATTGGAGCTGTACGGCAACTCCGTGGGCCTGGGACCTCAGCTCCGCTCCTTGCAGCTGCAAGCAGCACTTGGGCAGCCGGCCCTGGGCACCGAGGCGATGAGGGTGCGAAGGCCTTGGCCTCCGCCCTCTGTGAGCTGACGAAGCTCGAGCAGCTCGCGTTGGCGTTGTTCAATACCAAGATCGGCCCGGGGCCTCGAAGAAGTCGAAGCCACATTGCTGCTTTACCCGGAGGGCCAATATCGAGAGATACGGTAGATCCTTTTTGGGGTCAGATCTTCATCCAAGCCTTGCATCCCTGTTCTCGGTGCAGCACGCCGAAGTCTGAAGACCCGTGTTTGTGCCGATGTCCACTCCAGTGGCTGGCCCCGCCAATCTCGACCGAGGCCCAGCCGGCGCCATGGCGGTGGTGCAGAGCCTGCGAGAGCTGCGGCTCACGGATCTCCATCTTGATCTGGAGGACAAAACGCGCCGTCCGGGCCAAGGCCTGGAGATGATGTGGCCTTGGGCCTTGGAACACAAAGCAAAGCTCAGGCGAGGAGGAGAAGGAGAAGGTTTGGGCCGCCTTCGACGGTCTGGCGGTGCGCCGGAAACACCTCGTCCTTTGATCGGAGGCCGGGCCTGTGCGGTGTATGTAGGGGATTCAGGCTTCGACTCCTGGCTGGGAGGCCTCGGTGCTCTGCCGGCGGCTTTGGGCGCGGCGCAGAAAAAGCAGAGGTCGCTGAGCGCCGTGCTGGAAGCATCCACACTTATCTAGATTCTAGATCTCACCTTCTTTAAGCGCGGCTTGGGCGCGGAACGGGGCTACTGCTGTACCAGATGCCAGTGAAGGTTCTGGTGTAGGTCTTGAGGCCGTTGTGGTTTCAGACCTTGAGGACTGCAGCGAGGTGCATCCATGCATTCTTATTGTCTCGGTTTCCTGTGGCTCAAGTGCTTTTTTAAAAATGCATGTACAACAGCCCAAAAATGGTTGAGAAGGTCGATCATCTAGATGCACTTAACCCTAAAGCAGTGAGCAAGCCTTGCATGATCTTGCATGCAGAAACCCCAGCGACATGTGAGACGCCGGAGCTTGTGCTTCCATAACTGCATTTCCTGTACCCTGTGGTGGGATGTCCGAGCGAATTGGATCAAGGACAGAAGCATCTTCTCTAAGTAGTACAGCATAGACGGACTAAGGAGGTACAGTACTCTCGAAGTCAAATCGTGACGTGCTGCAACGATTCCCAACACAACTTTGTTTGTGGGTGCCCTGAACATTGCATTGTGCTTCCCAGCGCATGGGCTGCAGAGCCAGCAGTGAGAACAAGTATGCCGGGCATTGTCGGACACATGGGAAGGAATCACCACATGCGACATGTGGTGCCCGGGAAGTGATCTGCCAAGCGGGAAGAAGGTGAGCTTGCTCTACGTTCGCTACTGCGACAAGCACTACGCATACGGTATACAGAGATCCTGTGCCACAATCCTGATCCATTTGCAGCGTGATGGATCCTACTACTTTCATAGCGTGCTGCTCATGGCCTTCATGGTGAACCTCGTCAGCCTGTGCGGCTTGCGCATCTCGCTGAGCCACCTAAGCGGCCGCCTGGGCCACCTCATTACTTGCTTCCTGGCTGTTTTGGCGTATCGCTACGTCATCGACGATAAGCTTCCACAAAAGCAGTACATGACTGCGGCCGACTGGTACATACTCTCACCTTGTGTCTTTCTTGTGCTGCTCTGCATTGAGACAGTGACTCTGTCGGCTTGCGGCAGGGAGGGCGTCCTGACTTCGTGCAAGACCTCGGATCAAGACATGTTGGATCGATATACCGGAATATACCGGTTTCGGTGCGGCAGCGGCATGGATCATGGGCAATGCCATGCTATACTTTTTGTGGAAATGCGGCTGTCGCTCGAGCTGCAGCAGCGTCTATGCCGACAACGAAGAACCGTACTTCCGCGTCTGCGAGTGCCCAGAATGAAAGCATCGTTGGTTTCGCAAGCAGTTTGGAAACAACAATGGGAAGTGCAAGGAACCAGCACATGCGAACGTCACTCTGCGACTGCTTTACCAGAGCACGTTGAGGGAGTGAGCTCAACCGGATCGCAGAGCTTGCGTCGCGGCCAAACGAATGAGAGCAACACCTGCGGCACTGCAGAGAAAGCTTCGCGAGGCTGCAGCATGCTCCCCTAAACCCTAAACCCTTTAAACCCTTAGGGCCCTTGGGTTTACATGGGGTTTTGAGGCCATGGGGGAACCTAACACCCTAAATGCTTTCCCTTACCGAAGGACAGTTCGGAGATGTTCGGAGCGCTGCCAGTAAGCCCAACCCGCTAGTGCGACGGCGGCAAGGAGTCTTTGTGATAGCTTACTTTCCCTTGCGACCCTTAAGTTCAAATCCCTTAAATGTAGAGACCCTTCAATTTAAAGCCTCAAGATTTCTTCCTGACAAGAACCTCCCAGAGGCAGCCACCTTCGCGGCCCTGTTTGTGCCCAAGCAGAGTTTGATCGGCCTCTCAGGCCCTTCGTCGGGTTGAGTTGAGGAAGGGAAGCGGTCGATCTTCAAGGAGTTTTTGGACGGGGGGGTCTAATCCAGGAAATATGCCAATGATGCATTCTCTCAGCCGCACAATTTACTTTGGTTTGCCATGAAGCCGCAGAAGCTACAGCTTAACACCCCAACGCAAGACAAGACAAACGCGATACCCATCGATACCCAATGTAGACCCAATATCTGGGTTCAGCGTGTTTACGCTCCTCGACAGAGATTTTGTTGGTGATAAGCAAAGGTACAGTGACTCTAGAAGGCACTGCTACCCAGTATTGTGCATGGGCTCCACGGCATAGCGGGGAAGCCTCTCAAACGGAACGGGAAGCCCACTGACTCCGCAGAAGGGCCCCATACGCTTGCAGGCCTCCGGGCGAAAACCCGCGGCGGAAGGATCACAGACTTCGACGGTTGATGGCTGCAGAGACGAAAAGACGGTGACGACACAGTTTATCCTAAACACTAAACCAGGGGCTACGGTGAGAAGCGGACTCCATACAAAATGACTTAAACCCTAAACCCCAAACCTGAACCGAAGCCTTCAGCTTCGGTTCTGGTCCCTTGCGGCGGCTTGGGCCTCAGCTAATTTCGGTACATCTGTGCCTTACTAATCAGAATAAGCGGTTTGGGACTCAGGGTTTAGGGTTCAGGTTTTGGGAGTATGTTGTACTGCAACTAAAAAGGGACCACAGTGGGATAACGCTACAAGTCATTCATGGATCTTCCTTCTTGACCCCCTGCACCTTCTACCTTTACCTCCATGCCTGGAGTTCGCGAAGTACAAAGCTTTCTGTAAAGAGCTCGCACGAGGAGGCTGCCTTTGAAGCAGACTGTTTACAACTTGCGCCGCACGTCCGCTCCTGCTCAACAAAGTTCCCCCCAACCCCCACGACGACGCAGTAGTTGCCGTCGCATCGAGTGGTCCCGAGAGGCCTGAGCCTTTGTCTTCTGGGCATTTCGGACATTTCTTCGACCGGTAGAAGTAGGATCTCAGTCTTCTAGGAGCTTCGGGCTTTGACGTCCAGGATTGAGATGGGTTGAGCATTTGAGAGGTCTTCCATTGCAGTCGTCTGTAAGCCCCCAAGGCTGCGAGCTCTACCTTCGAAGCCGTTTACATTGTTTTGTCGCACCCTGAAAGCCTCTGAATTGCGACTGCCGGTGTGCAGGCCTTGCCAAAGCTGCCGGGCCCGGGTCAAGCAGGAAGTGGGGGCCTCGCGGGTTCGCAGTTCCGAGTGGAGGGCTTTGGCTGCGATAGTTTTTGAAGATGTCGGGTTGGACAGTGTTTTTGTAAAGTCTTTGCACACGGCGCGGAAGTACACAGAAAGCCTTCTGCATGCGTCTACCAACCCCATCCAACCCTCCTTGGGACTCTCCTTCCGTGCATCCTACTAAAGACACTCCTCACTGCTCACTCTGGTTGCCGAAGACCGCCTCCCGGAAAGGCCGAAGGCCAGGAATCAGATGGCGAGTGAGGCCTGGGCCGTGGGTTCCTTGCTGTTTGCCGGGTTCCGTAGTGCTCAGCGTTTCTGTCATTCTGAGCGTTTGTTGCTGGAGAGGCATGGGCGGTGGCACGGGAACTCATAGTGTTGCGGGGGAATGAACAAATGAACGACAGATCATGGACAGATCCAAGCAAGGCAGCGTGGGCCTCACACGAGGAGTCCGAGGATGTCGCCTAGGATGTTTAGAGATTTAGAGAGGCGTTGCTTGGCCGTGCAGGCGCCACATGAGTATGACCTCGCAAACAAGAACGACCTGGCAGACTTCCTCGAACAAGCTGACATCCAGCTGGTGCCGCGGGCTCTGGGGCAGCTGATGCAAACACCAAACCCTGCAAATTGGGACGACATCATCTTCAGGCGGTTCAGGCATAGCGGTGTCTGCAGTTTGGGGTCTAGCTATGTCTACGTGACAGTGCGCGCGGGGATCTCTTGGCGAATTGGACATGCACCGGAGTCACATTTTGCTTGTGACCTCGAACGGAGTAGCGGAATTTGCTCTTCTTCCACCCTGCTGACCCATCCGGGCCGATTGCTGTAGCATCCCCGCGTTCGGATTGCATTGTGGCGGGGCTTGATGAAAGAGTGAACCGCAGAACAGAAAGCAAGGCCAGGAGGACTTTTTCGTGATCGCCTCTCCCATGCCAGGGTGGTCAGGGCAAGCGGAGGATCTCCAAGGATGCTCTCCACGTCATCGTCAGGAACCTGAAAGGCCAGAGCCCTCCGCTGCAAGTGGGGTCTCAAATTCCTTTAGAAGTCAGAAATGATCAGCAAGCTCATAAGGCTTAGCACAAAGGTTCTCTTTCAGCTATATCTTTAGCCGACCGAAAATCAGGTAGAGGACACAGCTGGGTGGCATGTGGCGAGTCCAAACATTCCTACCAGAGACTTCTCAAGTCAAAGAGCGAAGCATAAACTGGCCCTGACTCTCCAACTGTTGCATGGACGGCGAAGCAGCCTTACAACACATGCCTTGGAGGTTCATGGGCAGGTATAAGTGGGGTTATGAGTGGGGTAACTATACTTATAACTCACATAAGGGGACGTCTAACCCTACTTATAACTACCCATGAAACTCCAAGCAGAGCCTTGCAGCTGCCTCAGGGTCTTGCTGGGATTTCGGATGTCACACGTGTATAACTATTCTCCCAGCGCGCCTGAGGCGACCGTTTCACCGTGGACATGCTCCAGGCAGGGACTGCACGCCTAGTTTGTTGAACATGGCATGTCCTCCGAGCGACTCGGTCAGGACGTCGTGCGAGAAGTTGTCCCCGATCGTTGGCAGCTAAGAACTGCTGTGTGCTGTGGGCTTTGGGAAAGATGCTCTGTGGTGGACGCTTCCTTGCTGAGGCGAGGGGCTGCTGAGCTGCGAGGACTTGGCTCGCCGCCTCCGCCGCCCGGATCCTGCGGTGCCGCAAGAGGCCGGGGGCGTGGGGGATGTGAGGGTGAGGGTGTGTGCAACTTTAGCCAACGTGATGTCACACAACGCCTGCGCCAGTCCAAGCGCTTCGACCTGGCGCAGAAGCAGGGGCTCGCGGACTTCCTGAAAGAAGCGGACATCCGCTTGGTTCACACCCCGGGCTGCAGTGTTGAAGTCTGCAAATTGCTGCAGCCAGTCAGGCATCCGATGATGTTTCCTGTTGTGTGTGAAAGTCTGCATGTGACGGATCATGCCTCTGACCGTTTTGCTGTGTGAAGCAGTGAAGCGTCCTGCCTAGGTGCGTGCCCACTTCATTTTGAAGCTGCAGCAGGAAGGACAGCGGCTCCCGCGCCGCCAGGAAGCGGAGTCCGCCTACGTCGAAAGCCACACGGCACTTGTCACGCACGAGGAGGTCCCACTGCAACCTGCACTTCCCTCAGTTTTCCCATTGATTGTCAACGTTCGGAGGTCCAAGCCTGGGCCGATGGCAAGGCGCCTGAAGGCACCCAGATTGTCTCGCTGTCCCACTGCTGGGAGTCGAGGGAACACTGTGATCCGTACGGCTACCAGGTTGCCAAGCTAGCCAAGGCTCTTACGGGAAAAGAATGGCTGTTCATCGATTATGTATCCTTGTATCAGTTCCAGCGACTCTCCCAGAAGCAGAATGTCAGCTTCGGGCGTGCGATGCAGCACATGCATGTGCTGTACTGCCATGAGAAATCAAGTACGCTCCGAATCGAGTCTTTGACACCGGAAGCAGACATCGCAGAAGCCGAGCGAAAGCAAGAATGCGTCATGATGTACCACCACCCCACCGGCCTGGTGAAACCAGTGCCGGTCACTGAATTGGTCAAGAATAATACCCCGTATAGTGAGCGAGGCTGGTGTGCGGCTGAGAGGGAGTGGTCCAGCACGAGGGAAGCCACCAACCTGTCGCGCGAAGTAGACGCTCCGGAAGGCGAGAAGGGGGGAATCGCCCCGATGGTGCCAGAGGCATTTCGAGAGAACGTAGCACACCAACTCAAATTCACGCATTTGGATGACGTAGAGACCGTCTGCAGATTGCAAGCGGAAGTGTACAAAGAGAAGGCAGAGATGTGCAAGAGCTTAAGGCTCGTAGACTTGGGTGCGGAAGCCCTGGACATCGCCCTGTCGGGTCTCGAGCGCTACCCGAAGCTGGAGCGCCTCGGCCGCAAAGCACTGCCTTGGGAGAAGCTTGAACGGCGCTAAAGCGGCTTCCCGACTAGACGGCCGTGGCTTTCAGGAGCCTGGAGATCGTCCACTGTGAGCTCAGCCCCAAGCTCCCGCTGCTGCTGAAGGCCGGTGTTTCCTTTGTGCATCTTCCGAGCGTTTCAGGCAGAAGCCAGGCGCAGCCCAACCACTTCTGATCAGGTCCTGAAGGAGAAGAAGCTTCCACAGCTCCACCTGCAGCACAACGAGCTCTTTGAGGAGGGCACCCGCCAGGTCGTTGAGGCTCGCCGCCAGTTGCCGATGCACACTGCTGGCATGGTGGCTTACGTTGTTGAAGGCCTTTCAAGGCTTCCTCCCAAAGGGAAGAGCGGCGGTAGGAACACAGCACAGAGGCCACTGATTGGCGAGCGCACTGCAAAGAGCTTCGAGATGCTTCGGCTCCACAACAGCCAGATGCTTCTGCGCATTCCTTGCTCTGTCAATGTGTGCAGGCAGTCAAGCATAATCACACCCTGAAGCAGCTGAACCTTGCGGAAGCCAATCTCGAAATTGCGGAGCCTCTTCTCGAGGCTGGCGGCTTCTGTTGTACTTGCAGCAGGCTCACCGAGACCGCTGAAGCTCGAGCAAAGTGCGCTGCTCACAGGCGCTCCGGGTGAGCCAGCTCCAGCTCGATCTGACGGACAGCGATTTGGGCAACGGGGTCGCCGTGGCAATGGCCAGGGCCCTCCGGACCGGCCAGGCGGGGTGACGAGAGCTCGTGACGCTTCTTGCTCCCTCTCTTTCTCTCACATCTTCGCATCTTCTGCGACTGTCGCTGTCCGGAGGTGAAGGGCACCGTCACCCACCCAGCCATCAAGTTCCTGTCCATGTTGGAGGCTCGTGCGTTCTCTTCGAAGTGCGGCAAGTTTCTTCACCACTTCGGGCCCGAATTGACCGAGTAAAATCGGCCGGGTTCTTGGGGGCAAAGACTGTTCCAAACAATCCAAAGAAGCCTGGAAACCGGAAGCCAAACAGACCACTAAACCGGAGGCCAAACAGACCACCCCCGGTGCGACCTTCTAACCATCCCTTTGCTTGGCACGACCGCTCGTTTCCCTGCGCATCACGGGGTCTTCGGGCAGCGCCCGGAGAGCCACGGCATGCCACGGCCGCCGCCGCCCGCGCAGGACATAGAATTGGAAGAGCTCGAGGAAGCGCCGCAGCAGCTGAAGCTTGATCTCAGCGGCTACGGCGGTCGCCGGCGGCTCAGCTCCGGAGCCGAGGCACCGCCCAGACACCCGCGTGCGCTGCCTTCCCAGGCCTCTACAAAGTGGAGAGGTTCCGGCGGCTCTTCCCTCCGCTCTGCCGGGCCCTGCCGAAGCTCCCGGAGCTCCGAGAGCTGCAGCTCGAGTTCCGCTTCCACCGCGACACCTTCGGCCCCGGCCCCGGCGCCTTTCGGAGCGCGTTTCGCAGAGCTCCTCTCCTCTTCTTTCCGCCTTCGGCAGGCGCTGACAGGGCCCGGGCCCTGGCCGCGGGCCTCCGGCACCAAAAGGAGCTGCAGGTGCTGGAGTTGGGGCTGCGATACAACTCCCTGGGCCGCGGGCCTCAGCTTTCGCTCCTCCACCGTACTTTTTGTTTTGTAGCTCTTGTGGTAGGGCCCGCAAGCCGACCCCAGCCATTACTCCGTTTCTGTGCTTTTGAGCTTCTGCTTTTTACTATCAAACTGCACCCGAACGGACTCGACTCTCCGTGATTTGCACCAGAGTCTTGGATTCCCGCGGCGGCTCCCGTGAGATGTCGTCCGAAAACCCTTCTGCCGAGATGCCCGTGCACGTCCCTTTCGGGAAGGCAGCAATTTGCCTCGCGACTTTTGCAGCTGACGGGGGCGCGCCCCCGGGCACCGAGGCCGCGAGGGCGCGAAGGCCTTGGCCTTTGCCCTCCGCGAGCTGACGGAGCTGAAGACACTCGTGTTGAGCCTGAACGAGAACAACATCGGCCCGGGGCCTCGAAGAAGCCACAGTGCGCTGCTTTACCCGGAGGGCCGATATCTGGAGATACTGTAGATCCTTTCTTGGAGTTGGATCTTCATCCAAACCTTTCATCCCTGATTCTCGGTGCAGCCCATGCCCCCCACGCCGAAGTCAGAAGAGCCGGGTTTCTTCCGATGTCCACTCTTGGGGTCATCCTGATAGCCTGTTTTTCAAAGAAGCCACGCCCCAACCTACATTCCCCGAAGTCTGAGGAGCCGGGTTTCTGCCGATGTCTACACCTTGTCTACACCTACACCCGCAGATTCTTGGCTAGCCCCTGTCTCCCGGCCGAGGCGATGCCGGCGCCACCTCAGTGGTAGAGAGCCTCTCTGAGCTGCAGCAGCTCACAAATCCCTATGTTGATCTGCACAGCAACGAGCTCAGCCCCCGCCTCGGAGTCTGTCGCATCTTCGGCCTTGCCACTCACAAACCTCTGCCCAGGCTTGGAGGTGCGGCAGAAGCTCCGGGCCGCCTTGGATGCTTTGCCAGTGGCCACGAAGAGGATCTTCCTTTGATCCCGAGGCCCGGCCCAAATTATGGTCGTGGCTTCGGGTGGTGAGAGTTCGGGGATCTTCGACTCTCCCGGCTGGGAGGCCTTGGCCTCGGCGCGCTGGTGGTGGGTGGCCTTTCTCCGGAGCGCTTCGGATCTGCTGCCGAAAAACCAGAGGTCGCTCCGCGCCGTGCTGGAGTCCGAGCATTCAAGCTTGTCGCCCTAGCATCGCAGTCTTGCTTCGGTGTTGGTCTTGGGTCTTTGCTGGTTTGGGACCTTTGAGGACTCGGGTCAGTTGCAGATTTCGTGGATTGAGCCACTCGGTGTCTTGCATCCGAAGCTGAAGAGACGCTCCGCCGAACCTGCCTTGCATTCTCATGGTCTCGTGCGGCTCAAGTGCTGTCACAAGGCATCCAGAGCAGCCCTATATGGCTCAGAAAGTCGATCATCTGAGCGTCTGTGCCCTGCACGATCCAGTTGAGCCCAGGAGGAGCTTCTGTTAGACACCTATGTTATGTTCAAGCGGGACCCTCAAGCACCGAGCAAGTCACTCACATGCGAATCCCCAAACTTCGTGCTGCTCGAACTCCCAACTGGATGGCTTAGTGCTTCATGCGATGTCCAAGCGAAGCGAATTCTGGAGCTGGTGCAGAAATCTGGAAGTCAAATCGTGACATGCTGTACCAATCCCCAACCCAAAAGCTATCATCGGGGGTGCCCTGGACATTGCATTGTTCTTCCCAGCGCATGGGCTGCGATGCCAGCAATGAGAGCAAGTATGCCGGGCACTGTCGGGACAAGGGTTTTTGCATTCGTTGGTATTGGGTGCTTCCCTGACTTTCCGCACTTCCTTTCCGAATTTGCAGTCCTCCGCAGCCGGATCTCAAGTCGAGAAGCTTATGTAGGGCTCTGATGATCTCGAGATGGGTTGAGCAAACCCATACGAACTCTAGCACAGCCGCTAAACACCCGAGATGCTTGAAACTCTCGGACCCCTCTAAGCCCTAACCACCCGAAATTCTTGAAACCTTCAGCCTGAAAGCCCTCGGCCCTCGAAGCTCCAAGATTCCCGAGGCGGGCCCGGCGGCGGCTGCTCGGTTTTCGCGGCCCGGCTTCGAGCGGAGGTGCCGGGAATGAGAAAGGCGTGTGGGGGGGGCCAGTGTAGGGCCAGGGGGGCTTGGGCTTCCAAAGAGACTTTTTACACTTTCAAGCTGAGTTTCCGGTCCTTGGAGTTTTGTGGCTGTAGGAAGGCTCTGGCATTGAGGTTTTGTGGGTTCACGCTCACGATCCGAAGCTGCAGTAGGGCCGGCTCCAGGAGCTTGCTATGCGGTCCAGACGGGGTTTAGTTCCTACAGGGTCTGGAGCCTTTGTGGTGAAAGGCCATGGACCTTGTGGCTCTAAGCCCTAATAAACCCTCAACCTTAAACCAACCTTTCGCAACAGCATCCACAGGGCTCAGACTCCTAGAAGTCTTCTGAGAGCGTTGTATGCCGAGACTTGGAGGCTGCCTTGCCGGAGAGCCTCAAGAAGACTGCAACAAGATCAATACCATTGCTAATAATGTATTAGTGTTGATAATTTTAACGCTACGCCGCCCGCCTCGGCTGTGTAGCAGGGCGAGGGGGCAGTCGATGTTTTTTTATGCTAGGGCGGCCTGTCAAACCCCAACCTTTAGACGGTTGTTGATAGGAGAACGGGTACAAGGGGGGTGGGGGGGGAGGGGGGGGAGGGGGGGAGGGTAGGGAGGGGAGGGGGGGGGGGGGAGGCCGACAAATCAGGTAAAATGAGGGGGGGGGGTGGCACGGACGCAAAAACAGGGTGTCACCAATCATTCGGGCTGTAGGGAGGAGGATTAGGTGGAGGGTACCTGAGGTAACCACCAAAACGCCTGGGCCTCTGGCCTCGGCGGATAACAATAGAATATTGGTAACAATGATAATAGTAGCAATGATAGTATAAACATAGCGTAAGAATAAGAAGCATACTAGGTCATAAGAGTAATAATCGTAGTAATTGGTTTGAGCCCGCGCAGGGCCTAAATGAGCTCTACCCTCTAACATTCATCCTTGTCTGAGTGTTCTTTCACCTGAGCGTGGAGCCGCCCACACACTCCCGAGGCTTTTCCTCAGTGCAAAGGTCTTTTGTTCACTGCCAGGAGTCCGCGTCACGAGCACTGTGGGCTCGTCGTAGCTGACAAACAGCGACCTGGTGGCCGGTTCGGTTCACAGTGTCCCGTGCCGACTGACATTTGCTACCATCCACTACTTGATAGCGGGCGACCGTTTGAACATGGCACGTGATGAAGCATCCGTCAACGCCACATGAAGTCAGGCCACAGCACATATGATAGCTTACAGTCTTCAAGAGGACCGACAGTCAGGGTGGGGCTATTTTTCTGTGTCTCCGTGGCCGCCCAGTCACGAGAGACAAGGCCAGCCGAGTTTGCGACCGGCACGCTCCTCCATCCTGCCGGCATGCTCGTAGCAGAACTCCCCCACCAAAGCTGCGAGCTCCGACTTTGAAGGGCTTGGGATATGTCTTCTTTTGTACCCTGAAAGCGTCTGAACCTCAAAATCCGGCCTACAGGCATCTGCAGGCTTTGGCCAAAGCTGCCATGCCTAGGCCAAGCGGAAGGTCGGGGCCTCGCAAGTTGAGGGCTTTGGTTGCAATTTGTTCATGGCTTCTGGGCCGGACCGTATTCAAGTTCATGGTCTGGGTTCTCTTTGGCTTGCGTGCATCGATGCTATGCCGCCTTGTTTCGACGCTTGAACAAAAATCACAGGATGTGACAAGGCTAACGCAAGCTGTTCCTGCGACGATCCCCGAAACGACTCCAGGCCCCGAAGTCTTCGTGAACTGTGGTTTTGCTCTGCTTTCAGCCAGCTGAGTCATCCGAGATTTTTGCTTCTTGCAGTCGGTCTGTTGCCTGATGAAATATAGACTCGGGCAGGAAGCCTGGCAACCCCCAAAGCCGACAACACGAGAAAGAGTTGACAGTAGTGCAGCTTTCGTTTCTGCGCCACACGAACACAGGTTTTGTAACCACATAGTTTTTTTTAAACAGGCTATGCTTTTTTTCAAAACTTATGCACATGCCCGAGAGCCAGAAGCCAAGAGCCGAAGACTCCGAGCCCGAGCATCCCGAAGCAGATCCGACAAAGAGCAGACCTGAAGCTTCGCACCTTTGGGAGCCGAAGAAATTCTGGGAAGAAACGGGGCTCCTCTTGTCGGTCCTTGTGACTCCTTGCGGTCTGGGGGCCGCTGTCTTCTGCAAAGACGCAGAAAGACGCAAAGAGAAGTCTCCATAAGAGTTCCTGGGAGGTTGGGGTGTCGCACGGACCGCACAGACTGGACTTGTCGCTTTAGAGCCTTCAGTTGCCCCCAAATCTTCCATGCAGGCCCGCTCTTCGGCGCTTTTTTCCTACAACGATTTTCTTTTAGGAAGACAAGCGGGGAAGCACGCTTTGATCTTGTTTTTTGGGTTGGATTTCCAGTTTCTTCGCCCAGAAGGGTCGGTGCTCCGCGCGAGCAAAGAGCTCAGACGATCTGGAGACCCGAGCCGAAGGCGCAAGGCCCAGCCGCTGTTGAAACCCGAAAGCGATTCTGGTTTGGTTAGTGCTATCAGGTATCATTGCTACTGATATTATGTTGCATTGTGATTTTCTGTGGTATTGCGTTTTTTTTTTTTTTTGCTGTGTGCCATGGCAAGGCCGCGCCTGGCCGGACAACGGTGAGAAGTTCCCAAAGCGGCGGGTGGCGGCTGGTGCGATGGGCGCGCGAGCAGCCTCGGGCCCGAGTCTTGCCAGCTGTAGTGAGGCCGCTTTCTACTGAACCTCGGGAGTTCCTAGACCTGAAGCCATGGGGGACCCCTCCTTTTCCACTTTGTGCCCTGGAGCGACGATCGACATCGTCGTCCTGGTTCGGCAGGTGGGACCTGAAGGTTCCTGTTTGTTGGCTCCTTGGAACGAGGAGACATGTCGATGCTCGACCCGTCTGGAGCCATGTCAGGTCTATACTCTGTATGGGGTGGCCTTCCAGGGCTTCTTTGAAGGCGTACCATTTCTGCAGATGCAAGACGACTCGTTGGTGATAAAACGGCCCCAAAGGGATGAACATACCTTCGGAAGGATCGTGGATGTGTGTGCAGGGATTGGCGGGATCACACAAGGGTTTGCAGCCACAGGTGGGCAAGGCATCTTGGCCCTCGACAGGTTGGCAATTGCATGTCAAACCCTGCGCATGAACGGACATAACGTGATTGAAGGTGACATTGAAAACCGCTCGGTCCGCATCGAACTGCATCAGCAATGTGCGGGAGTCAGCTGCATCCTGTGTGCAGGGATGCCGTGCCTTGGGATTCGAGTTCAGGGCTTGGGTTTGGTTCCTCCGAAGACTGGCAGCCTGTTACGAGCCATCCTCACTGCAGCTTGGCACCTGCAGACATATGGCCTTGTGCTGGAAAGTTCGCAGATGCTGGACTTGCATCCAGGACTTTTGGGAATTCTTCAGTCATTCGCAGATAAGGCTGGCTTTCAGTTAGTGCACACTCGCTTGGAGCTTGCCCATCAGTGGGCGTCCAGGCGGCATCGCTGGTGGGCTGTGCTGCTGCCGAAGACGCTGCCGGTCTTTCGATTGCATACCTGGCCCGCGGCTATGCCACCTGTCTTAGTTGGGGATGTGTTGCCTGAGTTGCCCGGGTGGTCTCAGCAAGTTGAATCGCAGCTGATCTGGGATGATGCCGAGCAGTGTGCCTTCTCAGACTTACTCTCCGACCGAGAGTCCCGCCTTGTGAACCTCAACGCCCAGGCACCTCCCGCCACTCAGTGCATTGGATGTCCTTTGCGCCCCTGCCCTTGTGGTAGAAGACCGGCCCAACCATCGATGTCCATGAACGTAAAAGGCCTTGCCTGTCTTGGGGTTCCCGCCCGCACGGGAGAGGGCCCGAGACATCCTCATCCTTGTGAGTTGGGCCTGCTGATTTCCCTTCCAACCTCGGTGCTTCACCTGCCCTGCCTTCGCGCTGCCCTTTGCCTTGTGGGCCAATCGTCTGCACCACTTCAGGCCCTTTGGATTGGAGCTAACGTCAAGTACTGGGCTCAATGCCAAGCTGGGACGCCGCCTGAGAGCCCTTTGGACATCTTGGCTGCTTTTAAGGCTAACCTTTGCGAGCAGGGATCAAAACTGGTGGCCTCCACAGCTGCAGCCATGGGTAGCATCTGTGTTCAGGATGGAACAAAGCTTCGATTGTTTCAGTTTCCAGGATCAGTTACAGCATCGGAGCTGTTGGCCGCCGAGCGGGTGCATGTAGGCCCGGGGTTTTCTCTTTCACTTTGGCAGGCGGATCGCCCGGTCCCAGGCCAAGAGATCCTGTCTGAACAACCCGCGGGGCCCACGTACACTCTGCGGGTCAAACGAAAACGTGCTGCCCGCAGTCCGCCCCCGCACAGTGAACCAGCTGGTGGACTGGACATCGCCCCCGGGGTAGGCTGTTCAGACCTCCTCATATGGAGTGGTCTCTCGGAACTTGCGACAACAGCTGGCTCCACACACATTGTGCCACCAAAGGCTTTGGACACTTTGCTGACCATGCTGCGCGATGGATTTGCGTTTTCTCCTGGTGCTTTTTCCTTTCCAGAGCCCTGCCTCTTGTTGCTGCCTTTTGTTCAAGAGGCGCACTGGACTTTGATCGCTTTTCGGGTCCAGCTGGGGCTCGCGGCGGCCACGGTGTATGATGGCATCCCAGGCCGGAACACAGCTTCAGCACGACAGCTGACCGATGCATTGAGTTTGCTGGGTAATCTCAAGCTCGAGTCTTTCGTTGAAGCACATCACTGGACGCAAAAGGAGACACATTCATGCGGGGTGCTGCTTCTTGCACATGCTGCTGCACATATTACAGGCCGAGCAGAGAGTAGTCAGCTTGATCGGGCACGAGCTTTCGTAAGCAGTTTCCCTCCCCACTCGTCTGAGTTGCAGGGCTGCGGTGGCCTTTCGGCAGATCAGGAGGCTGCAATTGGCCAAGTGCTGATTTCCAAAGGTGTCCCGCAGGAGCAGGTCGCTGAGAGGATCCAAGGTGCGGTCAAAAAGGTAGGGCCTGGACCGTTGGCACAAGCACTTCAACAGAAGAACGTCTGGCAGGCATTGAAGGCTGTGGCTTCCCGCCCCTCCACACAGTACAAATGGGTACAACCCGAGGAGCTTCGGCAACACATTGAGGCCAAGGCGCACAGCAAGCATGGTACGGAGATCGGAAATGCTAAGGCGAAGAAGCAACGTCGGTCCGGTCCGAAGGTGGAAAGTTTGGATACTCATGTTTGCAGGCTGAACCTGTTCAAGGACGAGAGCCGTTTCAAGTGGGAAGAGCTGGCGGAGGCCCCCATCAGGAGCCTGCTGGCCAATGTCAAGGAGCTGCGAGTCTGCAAGGACCCGGCCTGCAATCACTCCTGCCAGTGCTTCCATCCAGCTGTGGAGGAAACGGTTGATAACCTGTTCTTGGATATATGGGCTCGGAGCTTCTGCAAGCTGAATGGTGCTCGTACGGCTCCTGTCACTGCTGAGCTTTTCCAGGCCTATGTGCGGGTCCCGGCCAGTGCCATCACGCATCTGCTCAGGCTGGCTGTGCCGGGTTTGTATTTCGAACCAAGGGCAGCCGACGGCACCGGACCACACCCCTCTTGGGCGGTGGTATGGCTCCCTGGGGCATCCGCCCAGCAAGCGCAGCACTCGCTCCGAACAACGGAGAAGGCCATTGCATTGGCCCGATTGGGCACCCGCTACGGGCTTCGCACCAAAGATGCTGACGAACAAATCGTTTTTGAGTCGTTGCGCCCGCAGCACCAGTTCGTAAAGGTTCGGATTAGTGCGAAGTACAGGCTACATCCACTACCCTTCGGCTTCCAGCGCGCTAGTCTGGTTCAGTTGCTTCATAAGTGGGGTTGGTGCGCACGCCCCCTGCAACCGGATCGCGGGGACAGCGTTGGAGCAGCCTGGCTGGTCGGCGCTGCTGGGGATCCGCCTTCGCAGGCCTTGCCCTTGGGCAGTGACTTCGTGTTGGTGACTAAGCAGAAGGACACCTCCTCTGCACGCCGTGGGCCGCCTGCCCTTTGTGCCTCGGCCAAAACTAGGCGGCGCATCCTTCTCGATGATGACCCCGATGAGCCCGCTGAGACTCCGATTGACCCGTGGAGTGAGGGCCCCGATCCTTGGGCCAAAGCTCGCAGCTCCCAGCAACTTCGACCGGAGCCTGCCGCATCCTCGCAGGTTGTCTCAAAGCTGCAGACTCTCAGAGAGGACCTGACTCAGGATCTTCAAGAGGAGGTTCGCAAACAGGTCCAGGCCTTCACTCCTCCACCAGGTCTCACGGCCCAGGACCAACGCATCAATGAGCTGGAGGTGGGAATCAATGAACTCCGGCACCAGAACACCAAGTTCGAATCCTGGTTTCAAAGCTTTGGCACTAAGGTCACGGATCAGGCCTCGCAGATCGGCCAGCTCACTGCCACGGTGCAAGAGCAGCAAGGGGAGCTGGTAAAGGTTCGCTCGGAGCTTCAAACCACTGTCAAAACCGAGGTCAGCAGCTTGCAGAGTGCCTTGACTAATCAGATGTCGGCGCAACTTGCCGGCCAACTGGAGCAGATTCAGGCTCTTCTTGCGGACAAGAAGCCTCGCATCAATTGACTAGGGCGCTCCGGTCGCCCTTTGCAACGAAAGGGCGGGCCGTGGTTCAGTGGTTTCCTCCGTCAGTGCAATTCAGTGCTTCGTTCCCTCATCTGGCTTTCGCTTTTACTCGGAGCTGCGGGTCTGCAGCTGGCCCCAAGCCAGGCTTTCGATTTTTCCGAGGTCGATTCGCCTCATGGTTCCAAGTCGTCTGTGGTTGATGAGTTGGGATTACGGGCGCGGCCCTCTGCTTCTTGGCGAGACCAGGCACCACTGGCTTTCAGGCTGGGCTCGTCTGTGTCTCAGTCTTTCAATGTCGATGCGGCTCAGTCCGCTGATCCTTCACTTGCGGTGAAACGCTTCGGGGAGGCGGAACACCCCGGCCCGGACCTCGAGTTCGCGGTGTCTAGCAGTAACCCGTCTGGCCTTCGTGGCAAAGAATCACATGTTCTTGATCTTGGGGTTGGGATCCATGGACTTTCGGAGACCCAGCTTTCGGCGGTCACTCTTTGTTCCTCTGGAGCCCAGCTTCGCCGGCTTGCCAGCCAGCAGGGTCGGCAAGCTCGTGTACATGGTGGCGCACCGGCAGCTCTTCGCTCTCATTCCACTTGGGCTGGTAGCTGGACCGGAGTTTTGCAGGTTTCTGACTTTGCGAGTCGTCCATTTCAGTTGGTCTGGCCAGCTGGGCTTTTTGAATCTGGCCGGGTGTCTGTCTGTCAACATTACCCCGCTGCCACAGCCATCACTGTTGCGACGGTGTATGGCTACCCACAAGGCCCCACTTGGCCTGATGCACTGCCTAGAACGGATTCCATGCTTCAGCCGTTGACTAAACAGGTGGTTTTAGGAATGAGAGGAGTCAGATTGATACTGGGCGACTTCAATCACGATGTGGACTCTTTAGAACAATGTGCTGTTTGGCGAGCAAATGGATGGCAGGATGCACAAACCCTTGCCACCCAGCTCTGGGGCCAAGAACCCCGACCCACCTGTAAGCGCGCCACGTACAGGGATTTTGTATGGCTGTCTCCTGAGGCAATTGCCCTGTGCTCGCAAGTTGACGTTTTGGATGTGTTTCAGGAGCACTCTACTGTAATCGCCAAGCTCCGCCTGCCTGATGTATCAGTTCCGGCTTGGACTTGGCCACTTCCCGCAGAAATCCCTTGGGCGGAGGCTTCTATTGCCTCCTGGCAAGAGGTGGGGCAGCATGATCCGATTGAGTCCGAGGATTCTGATGTGTGGTACCGACGCTTTGGCCACCAATTCGAGCGCAGCCTCCAGGGCTTCATCATCCACACGCCTGGAGGCCAACTTCCTCGCAATGCTTTTGGCCGTGGCCGTCGACAACAGCCCCAGCAACATCAGGCTGATCGGCCCCCCATTAGTCCGAGCCGTCCAGGCGAGGAGGCCATGCGGCATGATGGTCTCTGCCTTGAGGTCAAGAGATGGTTTCAACAGCTTCGCCGCATCCAATCCCTACGACATGCTGTCCATGCTGCCAATGTCAGTCCACAGGCTTGCGAGTACCGAGTGTCCCTCTGGCGATCAATTCTTCGTGCACGAGGGTTCTCGGGAGGTTTTGAGGCTTGGTGGGCCAATCGACCCGCCCGCATCCTAGGCGGGCTACCTTTCTTGCCTATTGGGGTTCCTGGTGCGAGGGAGGTTAGCCTGCTGTTGGATGACTTTCGACTCAACAATCGCAAATTTGAGGATTGGCATCTCCGCCAGAAGCTGCGCATTGTGGATTCTAGGTATGAGACCAACATCAACCAGTTGTATCGCGAACTGAGGGAGCCTGCCCCTTCCCAGGCCGACACACTCACCATCACCACAACACATGCCATTTTGGCTGTTTCTGAGGATCGCTGTCAGGTGCAAGTTGAAGGTGAGCCCGATGCTCGGGGTTCGTCCTTCTGGCAAGTGGATGGCGTGCCAGTCCACATTACCAAGACTGAAGAAGACGTCTGCACCCTGGCGGCTCCCTTGCAAGCGCCAGACGGGCATGAACTTGAGCAGGTACAGACGCTCTCCTCCGTGTCCGATCTTCATTATGAATTCAAAAAGCTCTGGTCTTCCCGTTGGGGGGAATTTTCCTCGATCCCTGCCGAAGCCTGGGATCGCTTCTTGTCTTTCGCTGCGGCCTACATGCCTCGTTGTTCCTTGGAGCTTCCTGCCATTACTGTCCCGGTGTGGCGCCAGGCAATCCGTCGTTTCAAGCCTCGGGCTGCCCGAGGTCCTGATGGCTGGGCTAGGCTGGACTTGCTGCACATGCCAACTGAAAGGGTCTTGCAGCTCTTGGCTTTCCTTGCCGAAATTGAAAACTCCAGGCGCCCTTGGCCAAAACAACTCTTGATGGGATTTCTGTGCTTGCTTAATAAGCAGAATGGGCGGACTGACACGCAGGCCTACCGCCCCATTTGCTTGTATTCGGTAGTGTACAGGGCCTGGGCCGGTATTCGTGCTCGCCAGGGATTGCGCTTGCTGTGCACGCATATATCGCATGGGCAACACGGTTTTCTGCCGGGCCATTCCGCGATGGATCTCTGGTATACCATGCAATGCGAAATTGAGCTGGCCATTCAGGAAGGCTGTCCCATCTTAGGCTACTGCACAGACATAGTGAAGTGCTTCAACGCTCTCCCTCGCCTCCCTCTCCTTGCATTGGGTGCTCAGCTTGGACTTCCGTGGACTCTGATTGGGCCCTGGGCTGCATTTCTCCAGTCCACTACTAGACGGATCCTGATTCGAGGACACATTGGAGAGGCCATAGCCTCCACCAGAGGCTTCCCCGAGGGGTGCCCGCTTAGCCCTTTGGCGATGACGTTGGCAGATTGGGCTTATCATGTTTACATGAGGGTTTTTGCACCGTCTGTGCGGGCCCTCACATACGTAGACAACTTCTCGTGCCTGGCCGAAAGCCCCGGTTCAGTAGCGAGTGCGGTGCAGACCACGACATGCTTTACGGACATGCTTGGCCTTGAACTGGATGCTGCAAAGTCCTACGTTTGGGCTACGGATCCTTCGGACCGCAGGGGTCTTTCCGGGTTGGGGCTGCCGGTGCTGGAATCTGCACGGGAACTGGGTGGCCTGTTCTCTTTTGTGCCAGCTACACGAAACCGTCTGCTCCGTGACCGATGCTCGACCCTTGACTCTTTGTGGGCTTCTCTTCGTCGCTCTCGGGCTCCACTCTGGCAAAAACTTCGTGCATTGTCAGGTAAGTGCTGGCCCCGGGCGCTCCATGCGATTTCGGGTTGCCCTCTAGCGGATTCCGAGCTCGGCAGGCTGCGCGCCGCTGCCACCGGTGCACTGCGCATCCGCCCAGCTGGATCAAGTTCTATGCTGAGGCTCTCCGTCCTCGGTGATTGTGAACAGGATCCGGGGTTCTATCAGCTTTGGGCTTGCGTTCGGGACATCCGTCGCATGGCCTCCTCTTCTGCCAGCTTGCTTCCAATGTGGACTCGCTTCATGCGCTCTTTCCAGGGTCGGCTGCGACATGGTCCATTCTCTAAGCTTTTGCAGGTCCTCGGACAGATCGGCTGGCAGGTTCTTGATCCTCCTTGGGTGCAGGATGGTGAGGGTTTGCGGCACCATCTTCTTCAGATGCCGACTGCTTTGTTGCATCGTCTGTTGGAGCATTCATGGCTGCAGTTTGTGGCGACACAACACTGCCACAGGCAGAGTATGCACGATCTTCTAAGCCTTGATGCCCCACTCCTTCGGGCTGACCTTTCCTCATTGACGGCACTTGACACTGCCAGACTTGCTGCCATTCGCTCCGGGGCTTTCCTCTTCGGAGCACAGCATGCGAAATACGCCCCGACCGCGGAGTTGTGTCGCCACTGTGGAGTGCCAGACACGGTCAAGCACCGTCTTTGCCAGTGCCCACGGTTCCATGATCAACGTGCTGCGCACACCTGGATCGTGCAAGCCTGGGATACTCTCCCTTGTGCCCTTACGCACCATCTGCTTCCAGCGGCGAACCCGCATCTCCCCGAGTTCAGGCGCTTGCTTTCAGAGGTGGTTGATGTTTCGGGGGTCTTTTGGAGTACAGGGTCTGGCACTTCTTGGCATCATCTGTTCACGGACGGAGCGTGCCAGAACTCCGAGGCACCCGAGTTTGCTTTGGCCGCCTGGGCGGTGGTCTTGGATGATGGCCGGCCGGTGTCCAGTGGACCCGTCCCCGGATTACTGCAGACTGCTCCCCGGGCTGAGCTTTGGGCTTTGATCTCAGCGGCGAAATTTGCTCTCGTGAATGCGGTGCCGTGTATGGTCTGGTCAGATGCGCTCAATGCTGTGGACGGCATAAAGGCTTGGCAATCGGGCCAAGAGCTTCCCCAGGACAACGCGGACCTCTGGACGTACTTGGCCGAGCTTCTTGACCAGCTGCCACAGGAGGTCTTCCAGGTTTTCCATGTGCCATCTCATCTGGATCGGACTTTGACCGAATCCCCATTTGAAGATTGGGTACAGTGTGGAAATCAACATGCGGACACTTTGGCGGTCTTGACGAATGCCAACCGGCCGGCTGATCTTCAGCAGGTGTTGGGCAGAGCCTTGGATTATCATGGCCTCACGCTTCGGGCGCTCCGCTCGCTTCGGGCGATGTACTTCGGTATTGCGGCTGCAACTCTGGGAGACCGCCATGATGGAAACTCCGGCATCGAGGCTGCGGATGAAGACGTTCGTGATGAGCTACCCGCAGTCGCGAGGGTACTGGATCTTGAGGAGTGCCTTCCCGTCAACTGGCAATCTGTGGCAACAGCGGCAGCGGCAAGCTTTCCTACAGATTTTGTGCAGAATCTTTGTCGTTTTATGTTTGTACAGGATGCTGAGTCCGAACAGGCCCACAGGATCTCTTGGCTTGAGGTGGTTTTCATGCTTCACTGTCGTGGTGGTTTTGTTTATCCGGTTCAGGGATCACAGGGTTCCTGGTTGTCGGCCAGCACACAAGCTTTTCTTCCAGCCCCGCCCAATGTGGCTACGCGGCTGTACTTAGTCCGGCAGGCCCTCCGCAGTGCTTTTCAGGGTTTGAGGCTCGACGCTGTGTTCGTTAGGGGTCTGGATCTCACCGAGCTTGGGGTCAGCTTTTTGATGGACGGCTTGATTGTTGGGGTCGATGCCTCGCTCCTTGGATCGGCAAGGGAGTGCCTGCGGGGATTTTGTTGCGGGCGGCGGGTCGGGGCGCTTTCGGCTCTGGCCCGTCCGCTGCTTGCTTAGCCCACCGACGGACGGAGACTTTACGCGCCGCACTGCATTGCTGTGCGCGCGTGCCAGAGCCAGAGTGAGAGAGAGATGGGCGCGCGAGCAAAAAGGGCCTGCACCTGTCTTTCGGGGTGGGGTGGAGCAGGAAGCTCACTTTTTGGGGCGATTTTCTTCTTACAAGCCTCGTTGGAACCTGTGGATGCGGCAACATTGGGTGGTTCATCGTTTAAGGTTGAGTGTGTGAGGCTTGGGGGGCTCTGTCAGTATCTTTGGTTGGCAATTGAAGATGCTCAAGATCTGCGAGCAGTCAGATATTTGGGCTCCTCCACCGAAGCACCGCTGTGGTCCGATGCATTCGTATGCTTCGCATGTCCGTCAAGTTTGACTCCGGCCACTGTCCCCTCTCACCTCCTCGAATAAATTCTGATGTCCGGCTTCAACACGAGCATACCCTCAATGGCTCCCTGAAGCGGATTCTTTGCCTTCGCTCGCTGCTTTGGCTCCGTCCAGGAAGTGAGACCTGCCCAGGGCCCCGATGTGAACATGTTTTTTCAGCGTTCTCAACGAGCTTTCATCGGTGCTGGATGGCCTACATGTAGGAAGGTACCAAAAGTGCTAGCACTGAGACGGATGACTTCGTCCCAAGGGTTGCTCAAGCACTTATGCTCAGCGGGGGAATCTACTCACAAGCATCTCAGTTGGTTGAGGGCTTTAGTTCCCAAATTTATGGTTGCATGGTTGTGAATTGGCCGGGCAAAGGTCCCACTTTGAAAGCTCGCAGAGGCAAAGAACCTCTGCAGCTTGAGGGCGATGAAGCTCCTTTTCATCGCTCTGATGGAGGTGGTGGAGTGCCTCCTATTCCCAGATATCACAGGCCGAGGGCTGGTCGTTCTCCTGCAGAGCGCTTCCCGGCAAAAGCACAAACATTTTTCCGTTTGTTTGCCGCAGGATGGAACAACTTCACACTGGTCGAAGAGCCCTTCCTTCCAACGGTCAAAGAGATAGACGACATGGAGGCACCCGAGACCGCCGCGAGGCTCCGGCAGGGTTTCGGATGGTTGCACAGGGAAGTGGGTCGCCCTAAGCGTGGAGAGCGCATGCACATCTGGGGTTCACGTCCAGGGGTTTGGACCCGAGGTTCGAGCCTAAGTTTGCGGTGTTTGTCAACAGTAGCAGCTCAGAAAGGCTGAAGCGGTAGGAACCACCCCCCAACAAGGGTTCACTCCGAGAATGCACCGAACCTGAAGTCAGCCTGTCACCTTCGGAAGACTTCGGAAGATTCACAATTGTTGAATCCCATGCTCTCAGGTGGCATGTTTGGATGCTGGTTATGCTTGGCATCGCCTTCCTTGTGGCGGTCGCTGGCACGTTAATCCTGAAATGCGCTGAACGGGGGCCACAGACAGATCCTGCACAACCAGGCTGCACTCGGGTGTGGACGGACTACTTCCTTTCAGTAGGTCTCCGGCAAGTGTCGATCTAATCTAGTTTCGTGTGTCGACGTTACAGCAATGTCGTGGTTCGATCCGGGCTCAGGTATCTAGTCAGCTAGTTAAAAGGAGCCACGTGTTGCTTGCGAATTCTTGGGTGCAGCACCGAAATCCCTCGGCAGTCAGGGCGCGTGACGTTGTTCCAAGACAATCATGCCAAATCGGAAGGGTTGCTCACATATAACTCTGGTCGACCCTGCTATTGTATGGACGGAGGCAAGGGCACCTCTGCAAAACACGCGTACGTGTTTTCTGGAAGAGAGGGGGAGAGTGAGGCCACGCAGTGGCTTTGAAGGCTTTGTGATGCGGCAGTCTTCTTCTCGTACTGGTTTGCATCGGATGGAATACTGGGAGGCAACAGAAATCACCATGGAAGTTTACGAAGCCCCCCAAACTACGTCAGGCCATGCAACTCGTAGTGGTCATTTTATCAACTGGCACCTAGCGTTGAAGGTTTGAGACTTGAGGCTTCAGACTGATTTGGCAAAGCGTCATGCAGACATTCCCAGTGTAGAGCCAGCTGGTTTAGGTGAGGCTTTGGTTTCTGGCTTTAAGTCGGCGTAAGCAAGGAACGCGTGGCGCATGGCCCCAGTGTCCGCCAAAAGCCCGATGCCAGCCCACTGCCCCCAACCTTAGACCTCGCACCGCGAATAAGAACAGATCTCCACCCCGCATCCTCCCAAGGCGGCGACTATGCTCCCTTGAAGGTGGCCTCGCGTCTGGTCTCCTCTGCAGCGGAACAGGACAGCACCATCGAGCGATCCACCGCGACCGTGTCGTTCAAACCTCGCACTCTCAAGGTGGGGCTCTGCATTGTTTAGTGCTTCCAGAGAGAGTGCGGGTGGGGAGCCACCTCTGACGATGATGGCGCATGGGTTCCCGCATCTAGGGTCCTCTGTGTTCGGTAGTTTTGCATCAGCGTGCGTTTTTGGAACTTGCTCCTCTCGACATCGCCCTCTCGCTCTTCACCAGCTGGGCAGCTTTTTTGCCGCACATTCTTGTAGGAACCATATCGTTGTGCTCTCGTGTGTGACTTTGCGCGTCGGCAATTGCCATTCGAGTTCCTGGTCCGGGTATGCATTCGTCTGAAATTTAGACAAAGGATCGCAGGAAGATGAATGAAACGGCAAGACGCTTGCAAATTCTAGCACGGTTACCCACTTGTGGTCGGGCTCGTCCTTGCGCATTGGAGCGGGAAACAGGCGAGGGCGGACGAGGGCGGATGTCCTCAACGCGTCCTGCGGGGTTACCTGAAGTTGCGCGCTTTTCCTGGAGGCTGTGAGCTCGGGAGCTCCCGGGCTGCGCGGGTATGCTTGGCCTTTCAACTCTTGACCGACCCAGTGAGGGGAAGTGGAGGTTCACGCATCGCCTGACAGGGCAAGCCTTGCTCTCCTCTGGTGGTTTAGACTCTAGACGCTTGAATGTTTTCCTTCGGGAAGTTTACGGAGGGAAGCTCTCGCGAAAAAAGCCGTTCGAGTGGAAGCACGGCTCCGCATGTTGGTTGGGATAGGGATCAACAAGTAATTAGGATCAACAAATGAGATAAGGATCAAACAAAAATACGTTAGGTAAACTTGCAAAAAGCAAGGAAACAATGAGGGGGCGAGAGCTGCACCCCCCCAAACCTCGCCAAGCCGTGTAAGCTAGCTTCAATTCATGCGAGTGTTTTTGGATCCCATCATGCGAGCACCCTGTCATTCTGTTTGCAAATGAGGGGCGGGCTGCGCCCCCCCAACCCCCCGGCTTTTTCAAGCCGTGCAAGCTTGATTCAAAGTACATGAGCTTCCTTGAGGAACGTGTTGTAGATACATGGTGCACCGGAATCGCCAAATGAAGGAGCGTGTTTCAGATGTATGATGAACCGGAATCGCCTAAGAGGAGGCGTGTTTAAGACATAGGATGAGCCGGAATCGCCAAACGAGGGGGCATGTTTAAGATATATGAGGAACCAAACGTCAAATAAGAAGGCGTGTTGTAGATAATGAGGAGCCGGAATCGCCAAATGAGACGGCGTGTTGTAGATATATCATGAACCGGAATCGTCAAATGAGAGGATGTGTTGTAGATTTATGACGAGCCGGAATCGCCGGTCGTATGTTTTAGAGAGAGGCTGAGCCGGAATTGATGAATCCGAACCGCGAATTGAGGGGGCATGTTTAAGACATATGATGAAACGGAATCGCCAAGCGAGGTGGCCTGTTGTAGAGATATGATGCTTCCATATGATTACGCCAAGAAAAGGGGGCGTGATTAATGTACATGATGAACCGGAATCGCCAAAAGAAATGTGATCAATCCGAATCGCCAAACGAGGGGGCGCGTCTAAGATATGTGATCCATCCGAACCGGTGTGAAGCTGAGAGTTTGAACCCTAAAGTTGAACCCGGTGGTTAAATTACCCTGAAATTTGGTTGCGAAGTGTGCCAAAACGGTGCGAACTCGCAAAGGCTAAGCGACCCCGGTTTTTGGCGGCTGCGTGACCCCGGCACCGACAATAGAGGCTTTTATAGGCTTTTGGTATGACGATATAGAGAAAATAAAGGTTTTCCTATGCAGCCGTAACGAAATTAGAGGTCTTCCTATGTAAACACTACGGGACTACTACGACTACAACCAGTCTAACAATTTGATACAAGTTTGTTTTTGTTTATCCCTCCCCCTCAGTTTTTTTTTCTGTAGCCTTGTTGCAAAAAGTACCGGTTCAATTGTGCTTGATCCTATTTTCATTCTTTTTTTTCATCGTTGTGGTTTATTTTTTGGATCATTAACTATTTTTTCCGTCACCCGCAAAGGTTTCACGGTAGCCTTGTTGCAAGAGTTTGGGTTCGATCCTTATTCAGTCTTTTTGATCCGTCACCCGCAAGTGAGGCACCAGTGGCCCTGTTTCCTGCCAGGTGCTCCTCGCGATCTCTCTGACGATCACTTTCTCCACCAGTTTCGCCGCCTTGGCCTGGAGCAGCCGCACCGGAAGGCCTCATGCCTGCAAGGACGTTGTTGCAAGTTGTGTCGTAGATGTGCTTAGAACCCGGCCCGTCTCATGCAGGAACCCTCGTGGTGACCAACCGCAGAGCAACCGCCACTCTCTGCTACACCATCTCTAAACGGCCATTCCCTGGACCACAAGCACCTAATCACGGCAGCCGATGAAGAATTTAATCCTGAGTGACTGAGCGACCTCGCAGGTTGTCGAAAGACTGTGGTGCCGACTGGGAGGCGATGTTGAGTCTTTGAGTTCTTTCCCCTTTGCTGGGATTCTGGCTTCTCAAAATGCTTGAGAGTTTTCAGACTCGTGGACTTCAGCATCTTGTGGGCTTACAAGAGGAGTTCAGAGCAAGAAGCAGTCCCGGGATGGATGGCAAAGAGCCTAGGTTCAGGGTCTTTTGGATTTCACGTGGTTGTGGATCAGCTTGGATGCTCTGGTGTGGAATGCCAGCGCTAGGTCGCGGCAAACTTGCACTACATTTTGGATGTCCCCTCAGAGTCTCCGTCCGTGAGGTGTATGCTGGCCTCCTCGCGTGCAGTGGCCTGGCGCTGGTGGGCACCCGAATATCGAGTAATTTTTCGTTAGCAAATCTCGTTCGCAGAGCAGTAAGGTGTAGCTGCTATCGAAAGGCACAAGGGTTTGAGACAGGCTGGACTGTTCAGGCTGCAGGCAAAAGCATGAGCTCTGGCAAACCTTGAGTTTTCCCGCCTGGACCATGACTGTGAATCTCAACACAGCCTTAGCTGGATGCTGGCGTCAAGCCGGAGCTCCAAAGACCTGCGCTTCTTCGAAAGATGGCTGAGAGGTAGCCACATCGCAAGCAGGGAGGTTTGCACATCCTTTAATTCTTTGATGTGCAGGTCTTGCAAGCTCTGATCATGGCGCGGCGCCTTCCTCCCGGTGAGAAATTCGGAACTACTGCTTTCGCCCAGGCTCGGTCGCGAAGCTGTTCGCAGGCTTTCGAGGTAAATGTGGGATGAAGGCAGCATTCGCAGGCGGCGGCTACAGTGACGCTTGTAGGAGTTCTATGCATTTTGTTGCACTTCTTTGTTGATCGTCTCCTGCACATATGCAAGTGCTGGGAGGTATGGGATTCGTTGCCATCTTGTGGATGCTGCTCTGACTCTTTTCACCTTTTGCATGCCCCTGACCAGCTTGTCCGGTGCGACAGCCTTCCGCCCAACCACCACGAATCGCAAGCAAGCTGCCCCCCTCAGACTGAACCCAAGCTTGGGTCCTGGATGCTTTGCCCTCAATCCTCAAATCCTAGAGCTTGGAATTAACAAACTCCGTAGCCCCGATCTTCGAATCGCAGGCCTGCATCACCGGCATGGCCCCTGTCCTTTCGGATCAATACGATACCATGAAGGATCGGAGAGTCTTTGCTGAAAGGCTTCGGCTTTGCGAACTTAGAGTTCACTTCGACAGGCTGTTGTGGCTAGAGTATGATAAAGCAAGTCACTAGTGGCCCGAAAGCATTGGTTGCAGGATTTCCCTTTCCATGCGATGTACAGGTGCCGTGACCAGGGTGGGTTACCATCTCTATGGGCAGCTAAGCCTAAATGAAGACGAGCAACTTAGGAGACCATCAGGACGAGCTAAACATGAGGTCAGGCTTCAAATTTCTCTGGGCTGCCGAGTCGACAAGTCTGCGAAAGGAGGTGTGCCTGAGGCCTTGGAATCCGGGCGATAGCCATTATTGTTCTTCTGCTGGTGCTTCATCTGTGGAATCGCAGATCCTCACCTCCCAGTCACCTCCCGATTCGGACTGTCAGTGTGGGAATGCCGGGGTTGGGGAGGGTGGTGTCGCATCCGTTCCCTGCGCACAGGACGTCATGTTCGCCTTTCTCTGCATGCAATCCGAGCATGTGGAGATTCAAGCCATGGGCATTTTCTCCCTGCTGTGGCTGGTTGGCGTCCACGCGGTCTGCTTCGCCTACGAGGACCCGATGCGAACAGTTAACGACCCAGATTCAGGGAGAACCCTAATCAGGGTTGAAGATCTTGATTCCGGCTCGCAGTCCACCCGCGGAAACACTGGCAGGACACTACTGCGGAGCTTTTGGCCTCGCACCTCTCCGTGTTGCTTCTCACTCCAGACACAGGCTGTCGGGCTGGTGTTGTCGAAGGTGTCTTTGCTTGCAAAAACTCAGCAGAGTCTCACCACCTTGAAGGAGCTGGGGTGGCTTTCCGGGACGAGCTCCTTGTGCTGCTGTACAAGCAGCTCACGCCAACAAAAAGGCCCTTGCGGTCGATCAGCGGTGGGCATTTTGGATATTGCATTGTTCTGCGCATCGTGGGCCTCCACTCTTGTTTTCGCTTCCCATAAGCTGCTGTCCATCTTCGTGCCAGGTTCCTTCTTCTGCTCGAGAACGTCCCACAAGCCATCTGCGCCATCATCTTCTTGCGCTGCTTGTACTCATATGAAGGTCAAGGAGCAACATCCAGATGTATCCCGAATCTAGCCGTGGAAAGCACATGGACAATGATTCGTTCGAGTTTGGTAGGTCTCTCATGCAACACCAAGGCTATGAGGGTGGATCCGTCGTGGTAACTATGTTGAGCTTGGCAATTCCCGCACTGCAGGCAAGGTGTGTGAGCTGCAAGAGGAAATGCAGCCATAGTTCTGTGTGGCTCAGCCAGACCTATCCTCTGCTGCAGATTGGGCTCGCATTCCTGCTGTATGGCGCGGTCCGTGCGCAGGCGCACTCAGTGTGTGAGCATTACGAGAATCTGTCTACGTAAGGTCCAGAGAGGCATTGCACCGGTCGCCATTGACTTCCGCATCATTGATTAGTTCAAGCCGCTCAACTCCTATGCGAATGTTCTGCCCTCATGCTCACTGCACCCTGCAGCGCCCCTGCATGTGCGGGCTCCAGAACCAGACCTGCGAAGAAACACGAAACCAGAAACTAGTGTCGGAACTGTAGCTGCAGTTGCTGTTGATCTCAGTCTTTCAGTCTGCTCCAGGCGGAACGGTGAAGGATCCGTGGGAGGAGAGACAGAGAGAGAGAGAGAGAGAGAGAGAGAGAGGGCCTGGCGAAAGAAAGATTGATAGAGAGCGAAAAAGAGACAGAGCCGACATGAACTGCGGGGCTTGCGGAGTGGGGTCCTCACGAATGTGATCTGCACAGGTCGCTCCCTACTTCGGGCGAAGGCTTCGAGCACTGATATCGTCGCTCGGCCTCCGATTACATAGATTCATGAAACCCTCTGCACACCTCCGTCGGAAGCGGTTGAGGGAGCGACAACATTGTTTCGGCATGTCGGGGTTGACGGGCCATCGGCCTAGCTCGCCACAATGTCCATCCTTTCAAGGGCCGGGGACCAGCTGCTGGCGCAACGCCTCTGGCGCGAGGCATCCGAAGCAGCGAGGGAAAGCACGGAAGAGAAGAGAGGGTTTTCAAGGACACCAAACGGGTTGAACTTCCTAGAAGACCCTGGAGGGTTGCAGCTGAGAAACTTTTTCCGTAGACTATTGAAGATCGTCGGACGGTGCAGGAGAACTTGGGCCCCCGAAACCCCAGAATCAAGGCGTGAGGTACTCACTCGCTCTCACTCTCGCTCTCGCTCTCGCTTCTCGCCGTGCAGCTTCTGCGGCAATGCCTTTTCACGCACGGATGCTGGCACCTGCCCTGTCCTGTGGAAGGCTCCTGTGTGTAGCCTGCTCGTTGCCCGTGTTATGGAGAACCTTCCCCTGACCCATCATGGTGGCCAGCACTCCGGTGAGATGGACGTCGAGGAGGCTTCCGGCAGCTTTTGGGAAAGTTGGCCGTCGGCCCCCCCAAAGGGGGGGACTGGCCAAGTTACCAGCACCGGCAAGGGGCAAGGGTTCACAAGCGGCACCTCGGCAGGCCCAGGGACACCACAAGGGTCAACAGCGAGACAGGCCCCGCAACTGCGAGCCGGGAGTGGGGCAAGGCACACATCAGCTCTTTCTTCGGAGACAGTGCCAGACTCCAGAAAGTGGCAAAAACTGTGACAGTCCAATCCGACCCCCAGGTTGCAGGCCGACAACACCGCAATCTTCGCATTCAAGACGGGGAGCGGCCCGCACATGATGGTGCCGATGATTCACCAATGTACAGCGATCTGGACAAACAAGAAGGCGGAAAACCCGGCGCTGGTGACCCGCTCTCTGAAGGTCACGCTCCTTCAATTCCGTGTGGCCGAAGATATTACCAGCCTCTTTCAAGCCGGCGGCTCAGCAGCAAGCTCAGTCGCCACGATGGCTAACATCCGAAAGGGAGCTCAGTTTGTTGGAGTGGAACTTCGCGGAGAAACGCCTGGAAGCCAAGAGGCTCGAGGTTCTGACCAAAGCCCCGGCGCTCGTTCTGAGGTTTGCCGCTGCGAGAACCATCAAGTCGGAGTACACGGAGGAGACGGCCACGTTCGTGCTCGAGCTATCCTTCCTCACGCCGGTTGCAGCAGAAGCTATGTTGATCCTCAAGGAGTGGTTCGCATCAGCAGCCATGTTACATCACGGAGATCCAGGAAGCGATGGGGTGGTGAGCCGTCCCTTGCCCACTACTCACGCAACCCACAGGGAAGCTGCGGGGCTGGGACATGCACTTGCTCTTACCGAGGCGTGCAGAAGTTGGCTTCAAGCCGCGGCACTCTCCTGCTTGACATGCTACCATGGTGTCTCTTGCTGCAAGGCTGGGCGCATCCTTATCGACAGCAGGACTGCGCAGAATTTGTGAGATTCCTCCTCTCCCAACATGACTGGCCCTTCCTCACCTGTCATTGGGAGGCCCGACCTGTTTCGGGCTCCATCGATTACCATAGACCAAGGGTTAGCGGCGGTTAGCGGCGTGGACTTACCCTTGCCTCGCAAAGATCGTGCTACCATTCAGGAATGTGCATGTCTTGCATCTGCAGCAGGCGCCACGTGAACTGTTGCTGTCACCACCTTTCTTGCTGGTCAGTCCTGCACGCTATGCTATGCTGGTGCTGTGCAGGGGAAAAACAGCATCCACCTTCCATGCCAAGCTCTTGCGCAGGTGTGCTTCCCCAAGTATGAAGATGCAGCTCATGCCATCAGGTGGATGCCGTATCGACTCAGTGGGGTCGTTGACCGCGCCTCAAAGCGACCACCATCGCGCATTTCTAGTCCATTCGGGCCCTGCTGCTTCCCAGGCAGCATCTGGTAGGCCGAGATCGCGATGGTGGTGCACAGATGACGGGGTCAAGGCTCAAGTCTGTCGAGCAAGAACTGCTACATCCTGTGCTGTCAAGCCATGGACTGAATCCAGCGACGTCAGACTTCGGTCCACTGATGTTTCACTTGCTAGCTCCCCACGGGCGGGGTGGGTAGGATTTCCGAACGATGTGGGACCATCTCGCAGCCCTAATTGGCCGCACCTGCCGTTCTATGCCGTGCATGGGACAGTACTTGTTCTGCGATTCTCTGTTCTAGGACTGCCAAGAACCGACCCTGAGACCGCTTGTGGTCCCTTAATCCTTTCATGCGAGTTACAACTAAAGCAATTGCATACAGCTCCACTTCGAAGAGATGTGGTGTCCCAAGCAGTTCTTATGCGGATCAATGGTGCTTCCTTCCGACAAGCTGAAGAGGAACCCTGGAATTGCGGCCTTGGGCCACCTGAAGGATCCCTTGCCCTTGCGAAGGCAGACTTTGAATCCGACAGAGGGCTTTTCCGGCAAGCAGTGGCCTTCATGCACTGCAAGGAGCTGCCGTTCTCCACCAGCCGGCTCAGTGCCATTCCCTGCCTGCCTGTGGTGTTTGCAGTTGAAATCTGTGTGCATATCCAGGCATACTTACTACCAATATCGCTCATCAACCATCATGTCATCATATGCCCCTCTTTTTTGGCATGAGCCCTTTGGCCTTGCGGGATGGCACAGCTGAAGCCACCCGGGCAATCTCGGGGAGTGCAGGGGCCTTTTGTTCGGGTTCGACGCGGGTCGAATCCTACGGCTTTTCAATGCCCTACATGGTTATCGTTGTACGCCCGACAGAACCATCCTCACATGGACCTTGTTTGTGGAGGAGATCGGCGCGGAGCGATACGACACCGTCATCAGCCTTTGGAAGGTGCGCTGGTGCCTTCGCATGCGGGTTGAAGTGTCTTTGCCGTGTTGGGCACTGGGATTTCGGGGCCGTTACCGCACGGTTTTTTTCGGGCAGCCTGCAGGTCGCGCTGGACATGCACAGTGGACTCGGAGAGGACAGGAGAAAGGCTTTCTCAAATCGGTCTTTCAGGGCTTCGGCTAGGGAAGGCATCGTTTTTGTTTTGGTGCATCGGAGCCTATCAGTTCCAGCTGAGACATCTGAGGAGCAGTGGGACTTGAGCGACCTCGGCCTGAAGGAGGAAGTGCCTCTCGTCGAGGCGCACACTTGAAGAGGCCCTTACGGCTTCAGTACCCAATGCTCTCGAATCCTTCATGCATAGAGGCGAAGCTCCGCTCAGCCTCGCATCATGCAGTACAGCCGACTCGTGCCGCATGGACAGGCTTTCTTTGCCGAGCTTGCAGCTAGCGAGTGCCAGAAGCTGGACGTAGACCTTTCGCAGAACCAGCTAGGTGCGGGGCCCAGTCGGAGGCATTGGGGAATCAGGGCTGCAGGAGAGTAGGGCTTGAACCCTGCAAGAGTGTGGCAGGTGGCAAGCCAAGCAAAGGAGCATGAATCGGCAGATCCGAAGCCTGAATGAAGTGGGTTACTGAAGCAAGCAGGATGGCAAGCCCTGAGTACGACAAGCAGTGGCCAGTGAACGACACCGTACACTAAAGGAAGTGTGAACTGTGGCGAGCACATTGTCCCAGCCTAAGGCGAGGGAGGGGAACCCCATCAAGTCCGAGCCCGTCGAACCATGCAACCACCACTCCAATGATCCGCAGCATCATGCTTTGTCCAATCTCCGCCAAGGCGATGCAGGCGTGAGCGGAGCTTTGGCCAGGGCATTCTCCGGCTTGAAGAAGCTGCAAAACTTGTCCTTGAACCTGGAGATGTGTGGTTTGGGCTCGGGCCTCGGAAACGATCGAGGCTGGCTGGAGCGGAGTACTCCGTTTGTGCATACTTGCGACCAGGGCTGCTTGCGACCCTGAAAGGTGGTGTCTGGTATTGACATTGAAGTGTGGCGTTGTTACTGTTCCCTCTTCTTGATGTCTCAACATTAAAGGAGCCGAACCTGTGCACAGCTGGAACAGGTATGACGCGTTTCGGGGGTTCGCATAAACTTGGTAGACAAATGGCCGGCCCACAAAGCGAGAGCCGCAAAGACCACATGCCCGAGGCGCGGAGGGTACCGGTGCCCTGGCCGGCACCATCGGCGGGCTGGTTGAGCTGCAGAAGCTCACTTTGAACCTGAAGGGAAACAGGCTTCGCCGAGGCCCCAGAGTGTGCTCCTTAAAGGCCTTGTAGACATTCGGTTGTTCGGTTGAGGATAGTACAGCAAACCGAGGAGCAGAAGCCAGATAGGCCTAAGTGACACCACGGAGAGCCTTCCCTGGAATCGATGTCTTTCAGCATCGTGTGCAAATCTTCACCATCCGGATTCCCAAGTCGTGACCAGCCTGCACAGCCATCCATGTCCGACGTGATGTGAAGTTAATGTCTTTTCTGCGCCAGTCTTCCAGGCAGGTGTGGTTCAGAAGTTGCCAAACTGAAATTCCCGAGCTCCACCGCCAGGCGAATTTCCCAGCCGATGCGAGACGACGGCGCTCTAACCCCGAAGAATGAAGTCGAAGCCCGTTGAACGATGCACTCCCCACTCCAACGTTTCACAGAGCATCGCTGTTTGTCGACCCAATGCCTGCAGTAGACGAGCCCTGCAGGCGTGAGCGGAGCTTTGGCCAGGGCATTCTCCGGCTTGAAGAAGCTGCAAAACTTGTCCTTGAACCTGGAGATGTGTGGGTTGGGCTCGGGCCTCGGAAACGATCGAGGCTGGCTGGAGCAGAGCACTCATATGCAAACATGCTACGTTTATTGCAACAGCTTTGCCCCAGGCGAGGAGTGTGCCCTCTCCTTGCTGGAGGCGGGCGGCAGCAGCAGCTTTTGAGAGGATTCTCGGCCGGACTCCGAAGCCTCTGGCGAGTGTCGCGGACATTCAGGTCTTGGTTTTCTTCTATCTTCTTGGTGGTCCGCAGAGCTGCATAGAGGATGCTCTCGGAAGCACCGCTCTGCAGGCCCTCCGGGCGACCCATCCAGCAGCGAGCCAGCTCGATCTCGGTGACAACGACATCGGAAAGGGTGCCGTCGCTCTAGCCAGGGCCCTCCGTTCCGGGGAGGCGGGGCATCACTCCATTTGTTGATTTGTCTCGTCTCTCTCTCTCTCTCTCTCTCTCTCTCTCTCTCTCTCTCTCCCTCCCTCCCTCCCTCCCTCCCTCCCTCGCTCCCCCCGTCTTTTCAGGTCAGTTGCCACGTGACCCACCCGGTGGTGGAGATGTTGCTCCGCGAGGAGTTCAAGGCCGCTGCCGTGTTTTCAACGCGCAAGCAATGCAGAAATGGCTCCTGGCAGCGTGCAGGACGAAGAGGCGGGGAAGCTCGAGCTGAACCTCCGCAGCTGCATGCTCAGCTCCGCGAGAATCAGAAGTGCAGCAGGAGTCCGGCGTCCGCATGCCGAGGCAAACAAGACTTCGGGTCGCTCTGCCAAGCGCTGCCACTGCTCCGTCTGTGGGAAGTCGAACTCCACTTTGCCGACCTCGGACTGGGCTTTGGCCTCAATTGCTCCATGCTCGCTTGTCTCGCTGGGGTGACTTAAGTTTCCATAAAGAAGGGCAGTGGGAAACCGACAGAAGACGAAGCTCAGGATTGACAATGCCAGGCAAGACACATGCATCAAGGTGGACCAAGCTGGGCAAGTGATGTTGGATCAAAGTCTGACAAGTGAACTGATGGGTCACTGTACACACTCGACCTACAACGATCTGCGGTGTCGCGCTTTGTTGGCCCGCCGGCAATCGAGTCTCCACTGAGGCGATCAAAGCGCCAGAACCCTGGCCACATCTTTGTCCAGCCAGAGTTACGTCCGGAAGTTGTCCCTCAACCTGTCGGGCAGTCAGCTGGGCCTGGGCCTCGGCAGCAGGGGCCTCGAAAGGACGTTATCGGCCGTTGAGGCTTCACGGGGGCTTGTACCCAGTGCATGGCTGGAGCAGATGTGATTCTTGTGGGGGGTCGCACAGACTTGCTAGACCAAGCCCTGGCACCATCCTTGGACTGTGGCACCATTGTTCATGCACCCTGGCGATGATTCCAAGACGGCTGGAGGTGCCTGGTAGGATGTGACATGATTTCGTGCTTTCCATAGCCAGAGATGTCGTTCCTTGGTGCATGAGTTTGTTCACAGTTTTCTCCTGCAATGCCTGCAGAAGAGGTCCATGGGTCCTGCGCTCGCGTAAAAGGCTTATAGCGGTTGCGGGCGAACTCTTGCATCGTCCTTTTTCTCGGGTAAGGAGAGGGGTCTTCGGGACGGCGACACTGCCATTCCTCACCTTACCATTCAGGTAATCCCCATCTTGTTGCATCGGTGCTCTGTGCACCTGTGTAAGACTCTCGTAGGCTGCGAGTGTTTTTGACTAGTTTACACACCCGTATATGCATAATATATTCTATTTTTATATAGTATGACATAACACCATGTTATGTCATGTCATATTACAGTAAGCCCCATAAAGTTGGAAACCGGATTAAGGCCAAATAGTGCTGGGATTCCCTATACATTACTCTTACGGATTGACGCTGTTGCGTTTCCAACTTTTGGGCTTCGACTGTACAGTATGTTAGATCACATGGTATGGTATGATATTTCATGCCAGTAAACGTGATATTATTGTTCTTATGCTATGTTCTATCCTATTCCATATGTTATATTGTATTATGTTGGGTTCTGCTATGTTTTTAGGCTATATCGCATGATACTAAGTGATATCCGATGATATCGTATGATATCATATGATATTTCACGATTTTACGATACTATATGGCACCAAAAATGTTATATGGCGTCTCATGATATTGTAATGTGGTATGATATTGGTATGACGGCACCGCTTTATGATAGATATGTACATACATATATATATATATATATATATATATATGGCATAGGGCTCTGGGTCGAGCCAGTGTGAGGTAGCACTGGAATAGCCAGACCCCCAAATGCTCTAAGAGGCACGCTTGTGACGCCATCAAATCACCAGCCTGGCGTCGGCGCCTCAGGCTTAAACAATCAGCCCCCATGTCACGTGTCCATCGAGCACTTTCTTTGGGTGCGGCGCCCATGCTCCTCGATCTCCTTCTGCTGACTAGCCACCACTCGAAGCCAAGATACAAGGAAGTGCAGTACCGTACGGGAAAGAAGGCCAAATGGGACGAGTTTTGGCAGTCGGAATCCTGGGATGACGGGTATTCGCAGGAGCCCAGCAGACCTCAGAAAGGCTGGAAAGGACATTGGCCCAAGGAGGACAGCCGTCCTTACTTCTCCTTCGACTCCATGCCGATCCAGCCGAGACGTGCAACTGGAGGCACTACTTCCAGTCAGGCTGTGCAGGCTGTAGAGAATGTGGCCTCCGAGAAGAGCGACTTCGTCCGCGTGGTGCAGCAGGCGGTGAACACTGTCAGAAAGCTCGAGCCGAACAAGATCTTGGAGCAGTGACAGAACAATGGAAGCTTTTTCAAACAGAGTTGAAGCAAAGTTTTCCTGGAGGAGAAGACCCAACTGCTTGCGGAAAAGCAAGAGCACGAGGATGCACAGGAGACGGCCCTGGAAGAGCTCCAGGAGATCCTCAGCAGCCCGCAGGGGGCGGTTTTGAAGGAGGCAGTAATCCCAGACGAGGCCAACCAGAGGCCTTGACCAAGGAGGCGGATGCGGACACAGGAGGACTGGCGAACCTACTTGCGGGTGCCCTGGACCGCCGCGGCACACGCCATCTGCAGCCAGAAAGAACCTTCTGAAGACTCTGAAAGACCGCAAGAAGCAGCCTCCGGAGGCCAAGACTCCCGCAACTGGGGATGCCGGCAATGACGCCCCCTCGGACTACGAGGACAGTGGAACGAGCGAAGGACGCGATGGATGTCGAGGTGAATACTGCTACGAACTACATCAGCGACAGCCCGGTGGTCAACGATCCCTATCAGAGCTCGCCGAGAATGAATGGTGCACCCCCCAAGCGCGAGGCAGAGCGGCACCGCAGCCGACCGAGGAACAGTCGCGTTCCAATCAAGGCACAGGGCAAGCAGCCCACTGGAGGGCACCTCCCTTGGCGACAAGCTGGACAGGGTTCGTGGACGAGCGGCGGCCAAGATGGCGGGGGAGCCAAATTTGCTGACCTAGCTTTGGTTGGTATCGATCTCAATGGGCGCCTCCCCCCAACCGATGGCCGAGAACATGGTCGAAATCATGATTGACAAGGGTACTGGGCGCCATCCACCTTCTACGAAAACCACAGTGGGGACTCCTGCACCTATGTACACCCGTCTGGCAATGAAAGTAGACTCCATCATGGTGGGAGGCAAGGCTGTTGTGGAACAAGCGGTGAGCAGAGTTGAGGCGCAGTCGACACAAGGACCTACAGTTCAGGTTGAAGTGGCGGACCTACAACGGGTGGGAAACTGCGTTGTGCGACGACCTTTGTGACTTGGCACTTGATGAACTTGATGAACAAATGCCCGACGATGTGGAGGAGGTGTACGAACGGATCATGGACATTGTCTGCAAGCACCCCCTCTACCAGCAGGAGATTGAGGATGTCATGGTGAAGCTCGGCGAAGAGATCAGCGAGTTCTGTGCGGATCCTCAACATGGCCAATGTGCAGTCCACAACAACAGGACGCCATGCTAAAATGCCCTTCAACGAGCCCAGCAGATCGAGATCATGCCGGGCGGGTCGATGGACAGGCAAAAGCCTCCACGTACCGGGACTTTCAGCTCATGCTTGAGGATTTCCCGTAAAAGGATATAAGATCAAAGCTTCTTGGAAGGACTACGAGACCCCCGTCGCTACGCTGTACGAGTTGGACGCATGCTGGGAAGCTGATTGGCTGCGTCACAGAGGCCAACTGACCGTTTCAGCCGTTGTTTCCGATTTGCTTTCTTTGCTGCCCCTGGTCTTGCACAGTTTGTGGACGTAGTCAAGACAGGAAAAGTTTTCGGACTCGCGGAAGACAGTTTCGGGCGAGTGCAGCAAGCTCCAGTTAGGCTGAGTAAACCGAAAACACATAACATGACATTGAGTTGTTTTCCATTCTACCGTATTCGGTTCTAATTCTCCCATGCATAAATATGATGCTGTATTATATTATATCAAACCAGATTGTGTTGTAATTTATATTATAGGGTACCATATTACATTGTTGTGATGCAATCGGATAATTAAAATTATGTACTATATGATTTCAGATTTGAGATTGTATTTCATTGTGTTTCGAAATACTAATTTTTCCTCAAATTACACACTCAAGATATGCAAAACATGCTTGATTTATGGTATTGGTTTGCCTAGACACAATCAAAAGCTGCCTTAGGCGAGGGTGGCGTCGTCTCCTTGCTGGAGGCGGGCAGCAACCCTTTGCTTCCGATCGAGTGTTGGGGCGTTCAGGCTTCTTGGCTTCTTTTGTTTTCTTGATCCTGTACATCTAACCCCACTCGTTGGGCAGCCGGGCAGATGATGCTCTCGGGAGCCCCGCAGGCCCTTCGAGCGACCCGCCCAGCGTCGGTGCAGCTCAATCTGGGTGACACGGACATCGGACAGGGTGCCGTCGCGTTGGCCGGGGCCCTCCGTTCCGGGAAGGCGGGGCCTGCGCGGCCATGCAGAAGAGGGATCCCGACGTTGTTGGCCTATAGCCCCTCTGATGGCAGATTGCTATCAAGGCCTTTGTGTGCCCGATCCTTTCTTCAGAAATCTCGCCAAAAAATGTTGTTGGTTCTGTGCCACAAACTTTCCCTCTCTCTCTCTCTCTCCCTCTCTCCCTCTCTCTCCCCTCTCTCCCTCTCTCTCTCTCTCTACCTCTCTCCCTCTCTCTCCCCTCTCTCCCTCTCTGTCTCTCTCTCTGTCTCTCTCTCTCTCTCTCTCTCTCGCTCTCTCTCCCCCTCTCTCCCCCTCTCTCCCCCTCTCTCCCCCTCTCTCCCCTCTCTCCCCTTCTCTATCTCTCTCTCTCTCTCCGCTCTCTCTCTCTCTCTCTCTCTCTCTCTCTCTCTCTCTCTCTCTCTCTCTCTCTCTCTCTCTCTCTCTCTCTCCCTCTCTCTCTTCCTCTCTCTTTCTCTCTCTCTCTCTCTCTCTCTCTCTCTCTCTCGTCTGTTTCCCTGTTGCGTTCAGGTGCAAGGCCGGGTCACCCACCCCGTCGTGGAGTTCTTGGTTCAGTTGCAGGCTCGCGCTCCCTTTGTGGCAAGTTCTCCATATGTGCGGGGCCCGATTACAGTGCTGAGGGTTGTTGCATCGGCCATGCCTCCGGAACTGCGTGAGGGCTGTCTGCCAGGGATCTCAGCGAAGGCTCTGACGACAGAAGTATCACCCCCAAACACCTGGAAGCCGGAAGCCAAATAGACCACCCACTCGATGCGACTTTCTAGCCACCTCAACATGACCGCTCGTTTCCCTGTGTCAAAACAGGTGGGGGGGGCTCTTCGGGCCAGCACCACGTGCAGGACGAACGGTTCAAAGAGCTCAAGCAAGCGCAAAAGCTCGAGCTCGATTTCAAATGGCGCTGCCGGCTCAGCTCCGGAGCCGAGGTTTCCTCGAGGCCCACGCTCACTCCGACCGAGGTGGGGAGGAGTTTCTGAAGGCTTTTGGGCCGCTCTGCCGGGCCCTGCCGAAGCTCCCGCCGCTCCGAGAGCTCGCGCTTGTCGTCTGCGACTGCCCCGGCCCCGGCGGCTTTCGGCAGGCAGGCAGCAGCAGACACCTGCGTTTCGCCTGGCAGGCCCTGACGAGGCCCGGGCCCTGGCCAGTGCCCTGGCCGCGGGCCTCGGCAAGCAAAAGAAGCTGCAGATGCTGACGTTGGAGCTGTCTTCAGTGGACCGGGTCCTCCTCGGCTCCTCGTCGTTTTCGGCTTCTTTGTATAGAGATAGCTGTGGATGTGTACGTGCCTTCTTGTCTGCTACTAGCTCATCCCAGCCTGCACCCGAACGGTCTCGTCTTCTGGTTTTGCTTCCGAGTTTTGGATTCACGCGGCGGCTTCCGAAAACCGTCCTGCCGAGATGCCCGTTCCTGTCCCTCCCTCTGGGAAGGCCGCAATTTCCTTCCCTTTGCTTTGCCTCGCGACTTTTACAGCTGAAGAGGCAGCTGAAAAGCAGCACTCGAGCAGTCGCGGGCGGGGCACCGGCACCGAGGCGAGGAGGGCGCAAAGGCCGTGGCCTCTGCGCTCCGCGAGCTGACGGAGCTCAGGACGCTCAAGTTGAATCTGGGCCGCAACGACATCGGCACGGGTCTGAGAGGGTGCTTCGCACAATTACGACGGCAGATTCTGTGCCCTTCGCGATCGGGGGCGGAGCGTGGGGCCTCACTTTTCACTTGAGGCCCAACCGGCGCTGCAGCTGTGGCAGAGAGCCTGCGGAGGCTGCAGCAGCTTACGCGGCTGGAGGTTGATCTGTCTGAGAACGGGCTCGGCCCGGGCCTCCAGGGCTTTCAGTGATCCCATTCGTGCCACCTTAGAGTCATAGAAGCTGCCAAGCAAGCACAAGCCACCATCGACCCCGAAGAAGCAACGACGTAGAGGCGCTGTTAACGCAGTCTCCCAACTTTTGCTCTCCCCGCTCTAGTCGAGCTCCTCCCGACCAACATCGTGGGCCTCCCACACATTGCTGCCTTACCGCGTGGACCCATTCATATTGGGAGATTTTTTTTGGAGCTTGATCTTCATCGAAGCCTTGCTTGCATCCGTGTTCTCGGTGCAGCCCCTCTCCATGCCGAAGTCTGAAGAGCAGGGTTTATGCCGACATCCGCTCCCTCTACCCGCGCCTCCCTGCCGAGGCCCAGCCGGTGCCACAGCCATGGCTGAGAGCCTGCGTGAGCTGCGGCAGCTCACTTGGCTCCAGGCTTGGCTGCATCGCAACGAGCTCGGCCCGGGGCCTCGAGAGATGCTCGAAAGCTGGGTGGTGCTGTCCTCTGGTTAACCGTTGTGCTGCTTTTATGCTTCCGAGCGGAAGGCACCTTCATGCGAGAAGTCCTTCCCCCTATGATCCCATCGATGACAGGAGACTTTAATGCAACCAATATTCATTGCGAACCTTGCGCTCCAAGATGCAACAGAAGTACATCGGCCACTGGAAGAACCAGCATGAAGCCCCTGTCCACCCTCTCGCAACTTTGCTCTCCGCTCCTGCCGAGCTCCTCCAACGCCGTCTTTGCAATCGTTTTACCATTGCGTTACACTGAGATGATAGCCGGGGATATGTAGAGGCTTTTTCGTGTACCGTTGACCGAGGCCCACCCGGCGCCATGGCGGTGGTGGAGAGCCTGCGAAAGCTGCGGCAGCTCACGCTGCTCTGGGTTTGGCTGGGGAACAACGCGCTCGGCCCGAGCCTCGCGGGTTGGTGAGAGGGAGATGTGGCCAAAGACACGCAGAGGCTCGAGCTCTTCCCACCGTCTCACCTTCTCAAGGTATCTTGGGCCTTGCCACGCAAACCCAGCCCAGGCGAGGAGGAGGAGGCCAAGCTATGGTCCGCCCTCGATGCACTGCCAATTGGCGACAAGAACATCAACTTTGATCCGAGGCGCAGCCCGGTGAGGTCGACCTTAGGGAAGTTCGGGGCTTCGACTCTGGGAGGCCTCGGTGTGCTGGTGGCTTCTCCTGAGCGCTTCGGGCGTGCTGCCGAAAAATCGAAGGTCCCTGCATCAGTGCTGGAGTCCGAACATCCAGACTACAGTACCGCTGTAATAAGGCACACGCAACATGAAGGTTTTGGTGTGGGTCCTTTGTGGTTTCAGACCTCGTGGACTGGGGTCAGGAGTCAGGATTTGATGCTTCAAGTCGAGGTATTCGCGACTGAGGCACTCGGTGCTATGCACCAGCCCCAAGGTGCAGCGTTCGAAGCTGAAGAATTCTCATGGTCTCAGCTGGCCCAGGTGCTGTCACAAAGCATTCGAAACATACCCCCTGAGGCTCAGAACGGTGAGCATCCAAACGTCCATGACCTCGCCCTGAACCCTCAAGCAAGCCCTGGATGCAGAAGCCCAGCAATGTGAACGCCGTACTACGTAGACGGGCGAAGAAGGTATTCTAAGAGTCACATCACGACATGCTGCAACAATCCTCAACACCCAGCTTTCATTGGAGTTCTCTCAGCATTGCGCTTCCCAGCGTATGGGCGGCGGAGCCAGCAGTGAGAGCAAGTTTGCCGAGCAGTGTCGGGACGGTTCTCGGAATCATGAATGTTGGGTGCTTCTACTCCAAAATGTCCCCTCGAACTTGAAGTCCACTGGCTGGATCTCATGTCTTCGAGAAGCTTAGGGCTCTGATGATCCGGGTTGAGAAGGGTTGAGCATCTGCGGAAGAGCGGAACACCCGTGTAAATCTCGTTGCTTTCAGATCGTGTCTCAGGTTCTTGGATGGGCATCTCTGAGTAATTCGGCTGCCAGACACCCTAGGCCTAGGCGCTGGATACCGTGTATTCATTGATGGAATCCTGAAAGTCAAATCTGAGCCTCTGAGTCTTCAACCTCAGCATGAAAAAGCGCGTCTTCGGAAGGCTGGGGGCGAGAGTGGAGGGCCCAAGGGGCTTGGGCTTCAAAGAGGCTTTCGATACGTCGTGATCTTCTCCTTGTGATACTTGAAGCGGAGGTGAGTCTGAGTTCCGTGGAGCCTTTTTTAGTGTAGGAATATCGGGTCTGTCATCGAGGATGTGTCGGTTCGCGCTGGGGATCCGAAGTGACAGCATGGAGGCTCCAAGAGCTCGTGATTACGGCTTTTGGGTTTAGTTCCTATACAATCCTACAGGATCTGCGAAGCCTTCGTGCTGAAAGGCCATGGACCTTGCACGGTTCATGTGGCTCAAGACTTTTCAACAACATTCAGAAGCCCCGGGGCTCAGAATGCAGAAGTCTTCTTAAAGAGGTGCATCTCGGGACTTCGAGACTCGAAGCCTCCGCAACCTTGCCGGCGAGCTTCAAGAAGTCTGCAAGAACTTGTTTATCAGAGTCCTGTACCGTAAACACGGAAAGTGCCATCATCCGGTTGTGAGATTCTCGGGACTTCAACTTGTTTTTGTGCCTGGTTTGAGCCGTGCAGGGCCTGGATGAGCTTGTCCACCAACTGCTACCCTCCAACATTCATCCTTGTCTCAGTGTTCTTTCACCTGGGTGCAGAGCCCCCCCGCACACTCCCGAGGCTTTTCCTCAGCAGTGCAACCTGTGTTTTTGTTCACTGTTGATCTTCGCTCGTCAAACAGCGATTTGGTGGCCGCTTCGGCTCGCAGTGCTCTGCGCCCATCCATGACTGACATTTGTTACTAACCACTGCTTGAGAGCCGGCAACTGGTTGAACAGAAGCCTTCGTGGCACGTGATGAAGCATCCGAAAAAGCCGCATGAAGTCACGCCATAGCACATATCTTTTATAGCTTTGTCTTCAAGAGGACCGACAGTCAGGCGGGGCTGGTTTCCCTTCTCCTGGCCTCCCGAGCAGGATAGCCAAGGCCAGCCGAGTTTGCAACCGGCACACTACCCCATCCTGCCGGCATGATCTTAGGGGAGCTGCTTCCCATCGCTGCCAGCTCCGACTTCGAAGCGCTTGGGATACATCTTCTTCTGTCCCCCCCAAAACGCATTCCGAACCTCAGCATCCGGCCTGTTGGTGCGCAGGCCTTGGCCAAAGCTGCCGGGCCTGGGCCAAGCCGAAGGTGGGGGGGCTCGTTGCTTCGTGGTCAGGTGTGGAGGGTTTCGGGTGCCAATTTTTGGATAGTTGGTGTCTGGGTTCTCGTTGGTGTGGGTTCATCGAGCCCTAGCTTCGAAGCTTGAACAAAACCCCAAGGATGTGACAAGGCCACCAGGAGTACCAAACTGTTCCTGCGCAGATCCCCGGAAAGGAACAGAGGCCCCAAAGTCTTTGCGAACGGCGTGGAAGCTCACAGGCTTGTCCGAGCATCCGTCTCGCCGCTCATCCACCGGGGCCAGGCTCGACAGCGGCTGGCTTGGGGGGATGCTGCAGAGCGTCAGTACCTCAAACCGAATCCACGCGAAAAGCGTTGCTCACATCAACGAACCCTCTAAATCTCCAGGCCAGCCCTGCCGCCCTCTTTCCCCCTTTCCATCTCTTCACACTTCTTCCCGAAGACGGCCAGGCCGAAGGCCAGGGCTCGGATGGTGACTGAGGCCACGATGGGCCGTTGTGTTTTAGTTTTTGGTCGTTCTTTGGGTTTAGGGTTTATAGGAATTAGGGTTAAGTTGGTTATTAGGTTTAATAGGGTTTAGAGTTGTCCTCTCCGTCGGGGGGGTGCTGGTTGTGTTCCGGTCTGGGCTTTGGAAGCATAGGCTCGACTCCACAAGCCGGTGCTCGCGCATTCTAGAACGGGCCTGCCAGGTAAGCCAGGAGCGAGAAAGAGTGTCTGCAGAAACCTTCTGCGACATTGTCGACAGCCTTCGAGGCCGGTGAATGTGCGTGAGCACTTTGCAAAAGTACACGGGGCCGGTGGCGAGACGAGCGTCAGCGGCCATCGAAACCGGCTGTTGCAGGAGGCCATGGTATCACTGCGAAGGAGCTCGAGGCCGGATCCAAGGGCACGGCCATGAAGTGATGTGGCAGCGGAGTGTGGAGCCAAGGGCATTTTGCAGGAGGTTCCGACCGATAGCTGGGCACTCAGTGAGGCGTCTAAGAAAGAGGAGCCAGAGCCACGTCGCACCCGGAAACCTCCAGGCGATGGCTTGCGAAGCTGCCGGGAGCTCGCCCGCCAGCTCCAGGGCCGTTCAAGCGCCCGGGACCGGAATCGTTCGGGGCCTCTGAGTCCACTGAGCCGGGCCTTGATCTGCTGCATGCCGGGTCGCCGCGACATGCGTGGAGAGGCAGGGTCGTTCTTGCAGGCAGAAGTGGATTTTCAAAACGTAGCTCCAAACACTGTAGCACGGTACGCCCGGCGTCATAGGTGTGTCGTATCGTTGCTTCACCTGCGGATGTGTTTGGCGAGACATACTGCCTTTCTCAGGAATCATGTGCCCACATAGACAGCCCTTGAACATCCCTCTTGGGCTCAGATATTTTCATAGTGCAGCGTGATTCAGGAGGGGCACCCAGTGGGATCTGCAGGTCCAGATCGAGGGGCCGGGCGAGAAACCGCTGGACACCCAGAGACCAGAGACGGGCGACAAGGAAGCAAGAATTGGCAAAGAACCCGGGCCAGTATCCCCTCTTCCATGTTTGCAACGTGCACTTGGGCCGCCCTCGCGGCCCCAAATCAATGAAGGCTGAGGCTCCGGGTCGCTAGCACACTTCTCTCGCAACATACGCCCAGTACTGGTCAGCGCAGGCCAAGGAGTACGACTTGGCCGACAAAAAGAAGCTGGCAGACTTCCTGCAAGATGGGGACATTCACTTGGTACCGCTGGCTCGTGGGCCCGCGAATTATGCAAACTCTGGTTTCATCTTCAGGCGGTTCATGCAGGGGTCATGCTTGCAATTGTCACCATGTCCAGGTGGCAGTTGCATGCGGATACGTAATTTCTGTACTATGCCTGGACCATACATGCTGTTCATGCATCGACGTCACTTTCCCTTCGACCTCGAACTGCGAGTGGCTGACCTTACGCTCTGGTTCCTTACCGCTTTCCTGCATTCCGAAGCGCTTCTTGAAATCGGCTTGTTGTCAGCTCAAGGCCTCCAGATCGGTGATTTCAGCCACGTTCGGGGTTTGGGGATGTGTTGTTAAATTCGGCCTCCTGAATGTCGCAGGATCGTTGCCGAAAGAGCAAGCCGGAGTACAAGCACCAACAGAGTCGCGATATCAAACTGGCAAAAGCGCAGTTACTGCCAGGGTGGACCGGGCAAGCGGAGGATCTCCAAGGATGCTCTGCACGTCATCGTCAGGAACCTCCAAGGCCTGAGACCTGCAGACTCAGGTCCCTTACGGTTTATAGGGATTATAGGAGTGGAATACTACGGTTCAGGGAGTCCCAAAATCAAAGGTTGCAAGTTGGGCCACAATCCCTTCATCCAGCTGCGTTCAAGATCTTGCTGGGAATCAGGATGTCATGTGCGCAACCTTCCCAGAGTGCATCAGGCGACCGATTGACCGTGGACATGCTCCAGGCAGAAACTGTGTGCTTAGTCTGTTGCAGCATGTGCCTGAGTGCATGGGCCAGGGCATCTTGGAAGAGGTTGTCCCCGATCGCAAGAAGCTCAGCCATGAGTATGTATGTGTATATATATATATATACACATGTATGTGTGTATATATATATATATATATATATATATATACATCTTCAGAGTCCGAGCCGATGTGTGCCGTGTGATTTCGGAATGCGGGTCCGTGGTGGATACTTCCTTGCGGAGGCGACGGCCTGCTGAGCTGCGCGGACTTGGCACGCTGCCTGCGCCGCCCGGGTCCATCTCCGGAACCTCAAGAGGCATGGGCGTGGGAAGGGCCCGAGTGTTCGTGCAAAGCATTCTACACCACAGCAGCCATGCGTGTGACGCGTGTGCCAGCCCAAGCGCTACGACCTGGCCCAGAAGCAGGGGCTGGCGGACTTCCTAAAAGACGCCGACATCCGGCTTGTGCGCACCCCTGGCCATGGGGTTGAACCAATGCTGGGATGGTCCAGTCCACAATACTCGCATAGTCTTATTGTGATATAGTGGTCCACGCGTACTGGATCAGATCTCGTTGGGGGGTGGCCCGAGGTGCGAGCCGACTTCATCCTGAAGCTGCACCGAGCAGGACAGCGGCTCCCGCGGCGCCAGGAAGCGGAGTCTGCCTATGTGGACGCCCGCACGGCACTTGTGACGCATGAGGAGGCGAAGTATGTTGTTTGCGCATGAGCCTTCAACCCCATATCGCACGACATGAGAGGGAGCCCTAAGTCCCTCTGTATCTTCACGCCAGAATTGTTGTTTGTTGACTGGAGGTCCAAGCCTGGGCCGATGGCCAGGTGCCTGCAGGCACCAGGATGGTCTCACTGTCCCACTGCTGGGAGTCGAGGGAACACTGTGACCCATACGGCTACCAGGTTGAAAAGCTTGCCAAGGCTCTTAGTGGAAAAGAGTGGCTTTTCATCGACTACGTTTCTCTCTATCAGTTCCAGCGACTCTCCCAGAAGCAGAATGTCAGCTTCGGGCGTGCGATGCAGCACATGCACGTGCTGTACTGCCATGAGGAATCAAGCACGCTCCGAATTGAGTCTCTGACGCCGGAAGCAGACATAGTAGAAGCCGAGCGAAACCAAGACCGTGTGCTGCTGTACCACCACCCCACCGGCATGGTGAAACCAGTGCCGGTCACTGAATTGGTCAAGAACCGCACCCCTTATTCGCAGCGAGGGTGGTGTGCTGCGGAGAGGGAGTGGTCCAGCACTCGGACAGCCACCAACCTCTCGCGCGAAGTAGACGATCCGGAAGGCGAGAAGGGGGGAATCGCCCCGATGGTGCCGGAGGCATTTCGAGAGAATGTAGCACACCAACTTAAATTCACGCATTTAGATGACGTAGAGACCGTCTGCAGATTGCAAGCGGAAGTGTACAAAGCCAAGGCAGGGATGTGCAGGAGCCTCAGGCTCGTAGATCTGGGTGCAGACGCACTCGACATCGCCCTGTCGGCTCTCAAGCGCTACCCGGTCCTGGAGCGCCTCGGCACGCAACAGCACCACCCTGGGCTAGGCTTGAATCTCACTACAGGCAACCGTCATCTGAAGTACTCCCAGGAGCCTGGAGATCGTCCACTGTGAGCTGAGCCCCAAGCTCCCGCTGCTGCTGAAGGCTTTCGGGTTTGGGGTGTTGGCTGTGGCGGCCGTAACTGCCAAACCCACAGTGCAGCATGCAGCATGCAAAGTGCATGTGATTCGACATGGATTGAGCACGGTCGCTGGCTTAATTACCCTTGTGCATTTTCCGGAATTCAGCCGTGCTGCAGGCAGCAAGCCAGCCGCAGCCCAACCACCTCTTGTCAGGCCCTGGAGAAGATCAAGCTTCGGCAGCTCCACCTGCAGCAGAACGAGCTTTTGGAGGAGGGCACCCGCCAGATCTTTGAGGCCCGCCGCCAGGTTGCCTCTGCTGCGCACTGCTGACGTGGTGGCTTAAACAGAGCGGCACGTTCGGATGAGTCACGGAAGCTCCAAGCTTTTGGGTGTGTGCGTTCTGCGGGACGACGATGCACTGCACTCCGCAGGCCTTGGCTTTGCAGCCCAACGGGACGCTTGCGGCACTCAGCCTCAGCCACGACCGCATGGGCGTCGCTGGTGTCAAGGCTTTGACCGAGGCCTCGATGGCCCCAACGACGTGAAATGCTTGCAACGTAGGCTCTGCGGACCAACAGTGCTCTGATCCAGCTGCTTTGGCTCCATAATTGCTTCCGTGCATTCGTCAGGCAATCTCGGAAAACCGGACCCTGAAGCAGCTGAGCCTTGCGAAAGCCAACGCTGAAATCACGGAGGAAGGCACTTTCGCCCTTCTTGAGGCTGGCGACTGCTGTTGTGCTTGCAGCAAGCTCACCGCCACTCCAAGGCATCTGGTCCTTCTCTCCCCTGCAGCTATCTGCAGCTTGTGAGCAAGCGCGCTGCCCTAAACCCAAAACATCCCAAAACTCTAATCCTTCTCCCTTCCCGAGATACTAGAGCACCCCCCTTGCAGGCGCTCCGGGTGAGCGGGGTCGAAGCCCAGCTCGATCTGACGGACAGCGATTTAGGCAAGGCCGCCGCCTTCGCATTAGCCAGGGCCCGCCGGGCCGGCCAGGCGGGGTGACGAGAGATCGTGGCATGCCTTCTTCCCTCTCTTTCTCTTACAGCTTCCCATCTTCTCTGGCCATCGCAGTGGGTGCCTTTTCTCTGCAGGTGCAGGACAACACCATCACACACCCAGCGGTGGAGTTCCTATGCGCGTTGGAGGCTCGTGCGCTCTCTTGGAAGTGCGACAAGTTCTTAACCTCTTCTCGGGCCCGAATTAAGTCGACGACAGGGTTCTTAGGTGCAAAGTGTCTTCCAATCACCCCAGTCAATGCTGGAAATTGGAAGCCCTATAGAGCACCATGCGACCTTTGCTTGCGTAATGGGTGGGGGGGCCGGGGTTGTTCTCGTACAGCGCCCGAGCCACGGCCGCTGCACGCAGGACAAAGGATTCAAACTGCTCGAGGAAGAGCGAGAACTCACGGTCGCTTTCAAGGGCCGCCGCTGGCTTAGCTCCGAAGCCGATTACCGCCGACGGCTATTGGTGCCTGCGACCGAGTCTGGGACCTTTTTACTTCGACGGCCTTTTGCATGGCCCTGCCGAAGCTCCCGTCGCTCCGAGTGCTCCGGATCGTCTACGACTCTTGCCCCGGCCCCGGCGGCTTTCGGAGCTCGCGGTGGCCGAGAGCTCATCTCTTGCGCCTTGGCAGGCGTTGGCGACGCCCGGGAGCTGGCCGCGGGCCTCCAGCAACACAAGGAGCTGGAGGTGCTGTTTTTGTGGCTGGAGGATTTCTTGTCCCCAGCAGGCCAGGGCCTCAGCTCCTCTCCTCATCGTTTTCTGAATTGAACCGGGGGCGTCAGTAGCTGCGGACATGTAGAGGCCTGCCTTCTTGTTTTCTATTGCAAACTGCATCCAGCCCACCATGAAGCCCCAAGCCCAGCTCAAGCCTGCACCCGAACGGACTCGACTCCCCATGATGTGCTTGGGAGTTTTGGATTCACACGGCGGCTTCCGTGAGACGTCGTCCGAAACCCCTCCTGCTCCCTTCGGGAAGGCCGCATTTTCCTTCCCTTCGCTTTGCCTGGAAGCAGCACTTGAGCAGTCGCACGCCCCCGGGGTACCGAGGCGACCAGTACCGAGGCGACGAGGGCGCGAAGGCGTTGGCCTCCGCCCTCCGCGAGCTGACGCAGCTCAAGGAGCTCGGTTTGTGCTTGCCCAACAACAAGATCGGCCCGGGGCCTCGAAGAAGTCGAAGCCACATTGCTGCTTCACCCGGAGGGCCGATATTATCGGGAAATACTGTAAATCCTTTCTTGGAGTTTGATTTTCATCCACAAGCTCTGCATCCCTGTTCTCGGTGCAGCCGAGCCCCACGCCCCATGTCCACTCCCTCTGTCCGCGGCCGAGGCCCAGTCGGCGCCATGGCGGTGTTGGAGAGCTTGCGAGTGCTGCCGCAGCTCGCGGATCTCACGATTGCTCTTTCTAACAACGCGGTCGGCCCGGGCCTCGGGGGTTGGAGATGCAGCCGCCTTGGGGCCTTTGCCACACAAACCTCGACCCACGCGAGGAGGAGTTTCGGATTCACGCGGCGGCTTCCGTGAGACGTCGTCCGAAACCGCTCCTGCCGAGATGACCCTTCCCGTCCCCGCATTTTCCTTCCCTTCGCTCTGCGTCGAGACCTTTGCAGCTGAGGGAGCAGCTGATAGCAGCACTTGAGCAGTCAAGCGGCCCCGGGACACCGAGGCGACGAGGGCGCGAAGGCGTTGGCCTCCGCCCTCAACGAGCTGACGGAGATCAAGGAGCTCAAGTTGGACCTGTCCAAGGGCAACATCGGCCCGGGGCCTCGAAGAAGTCGAAGCCACATTGCTGCTTTACCCGGAGGGCCGATATTATCGGGAGATACTGTAAATCCTTTCTTGGAGTTTGATTTTCATCCAAGCTCTGCATCCCTGTTCTCGGTGCAGCCGAGCCCCACGCCCCATGTCCACTCCCTCTGTCCGCGGCCGAGGCCCAGTCGGCGCCATGGCGGTGTTGGAGAGCTTGCGAGCGCTGCCGCAGCTCGCGGATCTCACGATTGCTCTTTCTGACAACGCGGTCGGCCCGGGCCTGGGGGGCTGGAGGTGCGGTGGCCTTGGGGCTTGTGCCACGGAAACCTTGACCGAGGCGAGGAGGAGAAGAAGAAGCTCCGGGCCGCTTTCGATTCACTGCCGATGGTGGGTGAGAAGGAGCTCGTGATCGAGCTTTAATCCGAGGCCCGGATCGGAGTGCGGTGCATGCTGGTCGTGGCTGTGTTGGGGGCCTTCGACTCCCGGCGGCTGCGAGGCCTCGGCTTCGGCGCTCCGATGGCGGGTGGTCATTCTCGAGCGATTCCGGACTGCTGCGAAAAAGCAGAGGTTGTCGGAGTCCGAACATTCCCAAACTTATCGCCATAGCATTGCGCGTGCTTCGGTGTTGGTTTTGTCTTTTGCGGCTTGAGACCATGAGGACTGCCATGAGGACTGCAGGGTCAGGATCTGACGCTACCACAGGGATCAAGTCGCTGAATTCGGGTTTGAGGTATTCGGTGGTGTGTTGCACCGACTGCAAGGTGTAGCGTCCGAAGCCGAAGACGGGCTCCGCCGGAGCTGTGTCCTTGCATTCTCATGGTCTCGTGCGGCTCAAGTGCTGTCACAAGGCATGTAATCTAGGCCCGGTAAACCTCAGAACGTCGATCATTTCAACGACCCTCAAGCACCGAGCAAGTCATTGACATGCGAATCCCAAACTTCGTGCTGCTCGAACTCCAAACTGTGTGGCTTAGTGTCTGTTGCGACGTCCAAGCGAATTGAATCAAGGAGATGTTACAGAAATCTGGAAGTCAAGTCGTGACGTGCAGAAAGAATCTCCCAACACAAAGCTATCATTGTTCTTCCCAGCGTATGGGCTGCGGAGCCAGCAGTGAGAGCAAGCATGCCGGGCACTGTGGGAACAAGGTGGTCGGATTCATGAGTGTTGGGCGCTTCTATGCTCTTCTGACGTGGCCCTAAACCAAGCCCTAAGCCCCAACGTGTTTTTCGGACAGACTTCGCAGTTTTCTGGCAGGATCACAAGTCCTGTAGAAGCTTGGGGCTCTGATGTTCGGGTCGAGATGGGTTGAGCATTTGAGAGGTGTTTCATCCCCAGAAGCGCTGAAAACTCATGTCAAATCAGTGATTCTTGCCTTGGGCCTGAGATTGGGAAGTTGGTGTTGCTTTTTTGCTGGTATGGCACATGCACAAGGCTTCGGTTGCAATGGCTTCAACTTCATGGCTAGAGCTGTTGATGCCCATTACCATTGCTTTCGGATTCTAGTGACGCCTGCTCCGACTTCCGGTTTGGGACTTTCGGCTGCAGGGTGTGAGGGGCTCAGGGCCTTGGGGCCTTTCGCTTTCCAGCAGCATGTCTGTAGTAGTATGCCTCAGTGCGTTCGTGAAAGACGTCGAAGATCACGCATAAATACCGATGTCCCCTGAACGCTGACCCAAAATCCACGAAACTTGAAACCCTCTGCCCTGAAGCCCTCGAAATCCTCGGAGCTCCAAGATTCCCGAGGCCGGGCCGCGGTCCGCCACGGCATGGACCGGCTTTGAGCCGACCGAGCAGGGGATGAAAAATCGTGTGTTTTGGGAAAGGCTGATTCGGGGGCCAGTGGAGAGACCAAGGTGCTTGGACTTCAAATAGGCTTGCGGTAGCTCGTGATCATCTTGTGAGAGTTTGAGGGGTAGGATTCGGCTCTGTCATTGAGGCTCAGACTCGCCCGAAGGGCCAAGTTCATGCCAAGTTCCCTTGCAGCCCTCCTTGCCAAAGCCGGCGGAAGGATCGCAGACTTCGATGTTTGATGGCTGCAGAGATGAAAAGACGGTTGCGACACAGAGTTGACCATCTGTGCCGTCAACCTTTAACCCCAGGCCCGGAGCTCGCGAAGTGTGAGGCAGCTTACAGCTGAACTTGTGCGAGCTCTGCCCCTATCGTGTAAAGTATGAAGCTCTCTATACAGAGCTCGCAGGAGGCTGCCTTTGAGGAAGACTGTTCACACCCCTCAGTTCGGAACCGAGAGCTCCAAAGAACCCGACTACAACCGTCCGGAAGCATTTCCTGAAGTACCACGAATCTACAGGAAGATCTGCGACTCTGCACCCCGCTGCGTCCCAGAAGCTTCTCTTCCGAGCTTCCGAGGCCTCCAACTCGACACTCGAACCATGAGCCACCACCCCAAAGACCTTACAATTCAATCCTTAAAGCCTTGGCTCCGACACTTGTCTGAAGTCTAGGAGCCTGTGATTAGCCGTCTCGGAGGTCTCGAAGGTCGAGGAAGTGGCTTGTTGAAGACTCACAGAACACGGAGATGTTCCCCGAAGGTTCAGGCAGACAATTTCTGCAGAGCCATGCTCCGAAACACTTCCTCTTCCCCGGCCTGCATGACGCGAAGCATCCAAAACCTCGCCCGAGAGCCTCAAGAAGTTATCAAGCCCTTGTCTGCTGCTATCCCTCGACTCATTCTGAATGGAGGGATAGACTTTCTGCTAGTCCTCTGGGTGCACGTTTTGAGAGTCTCGGGACCCCAACTGGTTGGGGACGAGCAAGGTCTAAATGAGCTCGTCCACCAACACTGCTACCCTCTAACATTCATTCTTGTCTCAGTGTTCCTCTACCCTGGCATGGGGCCATCGACACACACTCCCGAGGCTCTTCCACAGCGCAGATGTGTTCAGGAGTCGGCACGAAGATATGTGGCAAACAACAAACTCTCGCGGACTCTTCGGCTCGCAGTGCCCTACACCCATCCATGACCATGAATCATCCGGCAGCGCCACGTTTATTACGAGACGAAGTCATGCTAACTACCGGAGATACCGGAGCTCTGCTCCTCCTTCAAGACTTTTGGTTAGTAGGGAATGGAAGAATGGGGTACAATTATAACTACTATTACTACCATTCTTCCATTCCCTACTAACCAAAGGTAAGAAGAGGACCGACGGTGTCAGGGCGGGGCTGGTTTCCGTCCTCCCCGGCACCGGAACCAGCAGAGCCGAGGCCGGCGGAGCTTACAGCTTTGGCTCCGGATATCCGGAGGGCATGATCTGTAGAACCGCTTCCCCCAAAGCTGACCGTTTTCGTCAACGCACCTGAACCGCAAGATCCGGTCTTTCATGGCGCAGGCCTTGGCCAAAGCTGCCGGGCCCGGGGAGGTGGCGTCTGTTCTTCTGTTTGCATTTGGAGGCTTTCGCTGTTGATCCGACCACTACACCCCGGAAGCCTGACCTGACTGCTGGAGGAAGTCGGAGTTGAACATAGTCTAGCTTGTGGCCTGGGTTTTCTTTGGATTGTGTTTCGGCCTTTTGACCCTCAGCACGACTTATTCCTGAGGAATCTCGGACGCCTCAACTAGGCCCCGAGGACTTGATAAGGCTCATCGGTGTATGCCAAACTGTTGCTTCTATGATGCCCGAAACCCTAAACCCTCCCCTTCTGTCGTTCTCGCAAGCCAACGAGAGCCCAGGCCAACTGCTTTCAGGATTCAGGGTTTGGGGTTTAGGGCTTCAGCTTAAAAGCCTGACAGGCCCTGCCGAAGCTGCCAGGGCAGGGCCAATCCGAAGGCAGGGCCTCCGTGGGTAGTTCGTGCACCCCCCCCCAGGTACACATGACATCTTGCGATGCAGACCCAGCAAACTCCAAGCCGCCCCTGTTACGATCCGAAAGCCCTCACAGCACCTCAAACTCTGTGCCAGTAGTGTGAAAGCAGGCAAGCGAGGGCGAGGGCCAAGCAGCCGGATCTCACTCATCTCCACGGACAAAGGCCGGACGGACCGCTCGCTTTTGCTTGGGGCCTGTGAGGTTTCGGGCAGCTCCGGAGCTCGTCCACCTTTTGGGAAGCGGGGTACTGGACGTGAAGGTTCGGATGTCGGAGTTCATTCGTTCGGACTCTGCGGTTCTTGTTAAGGTTTTCATCCAAGGCCAAGGACTCTTGACAAGAGATTCTTCACTTCTCAGCCTCCGCAACCTCCCCGTAGCCCTCCCAGAGCCCATTTCTTGAACAGCTTCGTCAGCAAAATGGGAGAAGCCAAGCCTCGCCCCAAAGGAAGCGAATACCACGAAAACAGATAATGGGGCTCTCTCACAGAAGTCGCCTGCCTTGGCTCCCGGAAAGGCCCAAGGCCAAAGCTCCGATGGCGAGCGAGGCCCAGAAGGGAAGTCTTGCCTCTGTCTTTGCGCTCCCTCCGTGTGTTGGGCTTGTACCATGTCGCGAGTCGTAGTTTTTGTTTTTGTTTTTTCGGTGCTGCGCTCTTTGTTGCTCGGTGCTTCTCTTGCAGTTTTTCGGGGGCCGCAGGGGCTCTTTGGACGGCCGCGTCTGAGGCCCTCAGGTTGACCCGACCTTGGGAAGTGCCCTGAGGAGGAGATGGGACCACATCACAAGAAACGAGGCAGCCAGACCTCAGCTACGTAACATGACAATCAGGCACAGGTGATCGAGTTAGAAAGCTGTGCCGGTTGGAAGTATGGGCTCGGATTCTTAAGGTGGGTGCTGAGCTGAGCACCAGAGCACAGCCTCAAGCCACGGAGGAGCCGCAGCCAGCAACTGCTCCCGCTCGCCAGGTTCGGAAGGAGCTGGAAAGAGTGTCTGCAGAGACATTCTGGGACATGGTCGAGTGCCTTCGAGGCCCGCACACGAGCATGGGCAGATTGCAAACTGCTTTGTGGGGGATCAGCCGGGGCTGTTGACAAGGCAATGGTATCACCGAGAAAGAACTTCAGGCCAGAGCGGAGTGGTACAGCAATGGGGCTTTATGTGTGTCCGTCTTTGCCCATTGAGCCAAGGGCATTTTGCAAGAAGTTCCCACCGATAGCAGGACTCTCAGTGAGCTCACTGAAACTATGATGCAGTGCGAAAAAACAGATCCAAGGCGAGGGCCTGCTGAGCTGCCGGAAGCTCCTCCGGCGCCTCCAGAGTCGCGCAAGCGATCCCGGGCCCGCGGGCCTCCTCAGCCGGGCCTTCGGGCGCTGCTTCCCTGGTCGCCCCAGCGAGCCCGTGGAGGAAAAGGTCGGGCATGCCGTCCAGCCATGCTTGATGAGGAGAAGCCCACAGAGAAGCCAACAAGCTCCGTTTTTCATTATGTCAATGTATCCTCAGTGCTCAACTACGACATGTCGGCAGCGCATCATGTCGTCACAGCGGCAAAGGATGTAGGTGGGTTCGATGTGGTGAGTGGCGCAGAGGAACTCAGTTCCAGCCTTATACACCCTGTCAGAGTTGGCATGAGCCCGGCCGGTTCTTGCTATAAGAAGCGAAGGGCAACCAAGGCTAGGTTTTTTCAGGTTCCTGGGCCATGGACGGAGTTCGGCGGTTTTCTGGTAGCGCCGAAGATCTCTCAGATGAGCTGGATTCAGCGGGGGAAATTCAACAGATTATGTGTAGAAGTGTGTAGAAGTGAGGGCATGTCTGAATGTGATACGCTCTTGGGTCTTGGGATCAGATCTGTGCCCGCGTGCAAGACGTAAGTAACAAGGATTGCCGCGAGCTGCGGGTTTTTGTTCAGCGAAGGCAACGTAAATGTAGTGCGACAGTGGTGGTCTTCTGGTATGTGAGCCAGGTTCTTGAAGTGGAAAGAGGGTACTTTCACTGAAAGAAGAGAAGCATGGCCAGGGCCAGGGCACCGAGAATGCTTGGGCGCACGAAGTCTGCGAGGGCCTTCGAGGCTGGGTGCCATGCTCGCCTAAGCCATCTTCATAAGATGGTGGTTCTCTGAATTAGGTCCCTTGTAGGGTGCTCTTTATAAGGCTGCCGTACTGTATTTGGGACCTAAACAGAGACCCGAAATTATTGAACTACCCATGTCCGATGCGGAAACAGCCAGTGTATCTCTTGGAGGTGCTGGCAACGGCGTCGGCGAGCAAACGCTTCAGTCGGGATCGAGCAATGCAGAGGCCAGTCTCAGGGGGTTTACGGGTTTAGGTAAAGTTTAGGGTTAAAGGGCTTCGGAATCGCCATCAGTCTCGGGGAAGCTCCTGACTCAAAATTGCAAGATCTCTGGGACAAGTCTCTTCAAGCTTATTCCGTGACCATGTGACCACTTCGATCCGAAGTTCAGACCACAAGTCGTCAGCCCGAAGCCCTAAACCCTAGGCCCTGACCCCTACACGCTAAGCTGCATCCTGACCTACAAAAGCATTAAACTCGAATCCCGCAACACCCTCAACCGTATAAACCCTTAGGTCCCGAACCCTACGAATCCCTGAACTCGAAGCCCGCATGTCAGGTGCCGTCTTGGAGCGTGTCTGTCAGCTTCCGAGACGAGCAGAGGCGCGGAAGTAGGACTGATACACCACAACACGATTTAACATACTCGAGAAAACTTCGATAAACGGTACAGCGCAACACATTACGGCCCCTACGTCCAAGCACATGATTGTCAAGAAAGGGGCTTAAGAATTGGGGTTCTGGGTTTGGGATTTAGGATTCCGGTTTTGGGGGTTGCAACATGGAACCGAAGGGTTTTTGCGCATTTCTGACGGCCTTAGGGTAATTTCAGTTCCAAGTGTGCGGGTGCATGTAAGCTTGGACAGAATGCCATAGGACTGCAGCGGTTTGCAAGCTGCTTATGCTTAATTACACACCCTGCATGAGGTCTAAACTCTAAAGCCTTTGTGCAGGTCTCTTTGGACATGGACGACAGCTTCTGATTCTGCAAGCCGATGGACGTTACGAAGCGACCCATGTCCGTGCCCTAACATGGCTTTGCGGAGTCATGGCTTTGGATACAGTCTGGGCCTTGAGGGCTAGGGCTACCTTTGTACTAGCATGACTCGATGCCCGCAATTTCTTTGTGTAGTCCTGGGTTGGATATGCAATTTAGGTGCACGAGACTGGCACACAGACTGGACTTTGAGTAGCGTGCCACTGCAAGGACTGAGGAGCTTGTACAGAGCTCTTACAGTAGCACATGATAGGACCCTTCAGCAAACGACAAACCTCACAGCGAATCCGCCCAAACTCTCAAACTGCTAGGTTTTGGCAGGCAACACCCAAGAAGCGAAGCTGTCGAACCTCTAGCCGCAAGCCTCTAGCCGCAAGCCTTCGCTACCCAACCTTCAACATGGAAGTTCCAGACATCGATGGCAGCAGCCAACCCAGGGTGCAAGTACCCAAACAATGTGGGTTTTCAGTGCCAAGAACCCACTCAGGGCATAGCATTTGGATTTCAAACCCTAGAATCCGGACACAGTAGCAGCTGAATATTTCGAGAGGCGCATAGGACAACGAAGCCACAGCAGCAACAGCAGCAACAGCAGCAACAGCAACAACAGCAACAACAGCAAGACTAGCAGCAACGACAACATCAGACATCAGCAGATAATGAAGCATCATTTAATGCAATGTAATATAGCATAGATGTAATTTGACATGATCTATAGATATTATGAAACATACTTGCATAACATAAGCAACAACGACCCGAGCTTCCAAGAGAGGAGCGCAAGCGGAAGCGGAGCCGAGGCGAGGGCCAGGGGAGCTCCCAGGATCTCCAGGGCTGCCTCCTGGATCGGGTGCATCAGGAGGCCCCGAGAGGGGTTTGGGGGACAGGGGAATATGAGTTCAGGAGTTTCGGAGCTTAGGGGTTTGGGAGTTGAGGGGTTTGGGGGGTTGAGGGGTTTAGGTGTTTCGGGGTAAGGGTGTAGGGGGTTGAGGGTTTGGGGTTTAGGCGTTTGGGGGTTTAAGGTCTTAGGGTTTAGGGCCGCAGCACAAGAGGGCTTGGGGTACCGGGCTCCGATGCTGCAGGGCCACATCGAGGATTGCGAGAAGCCGATGGAGAGCGGCAAGCTCCAGGGCCTGGACGCAAGGCGGGGATTTCCTCTCTGGGATGAAATATCTGCCTGGTTCTTAGCAGGGAATGGGGGAATGGATTATGGAGAGTATTAAGGGGGATTATATAGAAACTACTATAGGGATCCATTCCCCCATTCCCTACTAAGCACCAGACAGATAGAAGAGAGCTCTGATCGATCTCTGCACCTCTGCTGCCCACTGAGGCGTGGCTCATGCGACCACTCAGATCCGCGCACCTCGAAATCAGCGCAGGCTCCACGTCCCTCGCGTGCTTTCTCTTGCAAAGAGCGATGCGGCTGCTTGGCCTGGCAGGTGAAGGAGTATGACCTAGCCGACAAGAACGGGCTGGCAGACTTCCTCGTAAACGCGAACATCCAGCTGGCGCCGCAGGCTCGGGAAAGAGGGGTATTAACATGTTCAAGCGGTTCAGTTGGGGCCATGACTGGGTACCTCAAACCGATTAGTTTGCCTCTTGCTCCCTCCTCCTGAGCCATCCGATTTTTTCGTCTTGCAATCGGTTTGGATGTCCATTGCAGTAGCGTCCGCGTGATCCAGGGCTGCAATGTGGCGGAGGTTTCTGAAAGAGCGAACCGCAGCACATCAGGGCTTGTGCCGTGATGGCATGTTCTTTCCCGCTTTTCCCCTGCCAGGGTGGCCCGGGCATGCGGAGGATCTCCAAGGATGCTCTTCACGTCATCGTCAGGAACCTTAAAGGCCACCGACAATGCAGGGTGAGTCTTAGTTGCAGGCTTTAAACATGACCTGTCACAAATGAGGCAAGTTCATACGTTAACAACACAGAACTTCAGAGTCACTTAATTACTGTATATGTTTGATTATGACGTGGGCCGAACATGACTTACAGAACTTGGCGGGGTAGCATGTGACGGAAGTTCCAACATCACTCTGGAGTAGAGACTTAGAGACTTGTCCAACTTAGCATGCGCAGCATAGATTCTGAAATTGTTGCATGGCTGGTGTAGTAGTGCTGCGAAGAAGCCCCTCAATACATCCCATCGAGCCTTGCAGCTGCCGAAACGTCTCGAGCTTGGCGGATTCAAGATGTGTGCATGGTGCGCGGCAGGCGACCGTTTCACTGTGGACATGCTAGAGGCAGAGACTGCATGCTTAGTTTGTTGCGAGTTCCCTAGCTTCTCGGCCAGGGCATCTTGCAAGAGGTCGTCCCCGATCGCGTGAAGCTCAGACGTAGCACCGCGAGAGTGGAGAGGGCTGCGTGCTGCGTGATTTCGGAAAGTGATGGATGCTTCTTTGCGGAGGTCAGGGGCTGCTGAACTGCGAGGACTTGGCACACTGCCTCCGCCGCCCGAATCCAGCTCCAGAGCCCCAAGAGGCCCGGGCGTGAGTGTTTTCCTGCAAATATCGTGCCTTGACAACGTCGCGCGACATCTGCGCCAGCCCAAGCGCTACGACCTGGCTCAGAAGCAGGGGCTGGCAGACTTCCTGAAGGATGCTGACATCCGGCTGGTGCGCACCCCGGGCTGCGGAGTTGAAGTCTGCAAAGGTATGCGGCCATCGGATGGTTCCTGCTGTGCCATGCTTGCCTGTATGCGATCAATGTTTCACGGATCACATCTCTGACAAGCTTCCTGTGTGAAGCACTCTGCCGAGATCTGCCGAGGTGCGAGCCGACTTCATCCTGAAGCTCCACCGGGAAGGACAGCGGCTCCCGCGCCGCCAGGAAGCAGAGTCCGCCTACGTGGAAAGCCGCACCGCGCTTGTGACGCACGAGGAGGTGCGGTATGTGGTTTGTGCGAATCTCCATCCCACCCAACAGCCAAAGAGAAGTTTCGCTGGAACTTGGAACCACTCTGCGAGATTGGAGGCAAGCCCTCAGCGTCCCTCCCTCCGGGTTCCATCCAACTGGAGGTCCAAGCCTGGGCCGATGGTGAGGCGCCAGAAGGCACCCAGATAGTCTCTCTGTCCCATTGCTGGGAGTCGAGGGAACATTGTGATCCGTATGCCTATCAGGTATCTAAACTAGCCCAGACCCTTGCGGGAAATGAGTGGTTTTTCATCGATTATGTGTCTTTGTATCAGTTCCAGCGATTTTCCCGGGAACAGAACGTTAGCTTCGGGCGTGCGATGCAGCACATGCATGTGCTTTACTGCCACGATAAGACGAGCACCCTCCGAATCGAGTCTCTGACGCCGGAAGCAGACGTAATAGAAGCAGAGCGAAGGCAAGACTGCGTGATGATGTATCACCACCCCAGCGGCTTGGTGAAACCAGTGCCGGTCACTGAATTGGTTAAGAACCGCACCCCTTACACGCAGCGCGGTTGGTGTGCTGCGGAGAGGGAGTGGTCGAGTACTCGCACATCCACCAACCTTTCGCGTGAAGTAGATGCGCCCGAAGGCGAGAAAGGGGGCCTCGCCCCAATGGTGCCGGAGATATTTCGATTGAGTGTAGCACACCAGCTCAAATTCACGCATTTCGATGACGTAGAGACCGTCTGCAGATTGCAAGCGGAAGTGTACAAAGAGAAGGCCGAGACGTGCAAGAGCTTACGGCTCGTAGATTTGGGCGCGGAAGCACTCGGCAGAGCCCTGTCGGGTCTCGAGCGCTACCCAATCCTGGAGCACCTCGGCACGCAAAGAACTGCCTTTTTGGCCGGATAACGACAAAGCTTGAATCGAAGGCAAGGCTAGAGCGGCCGTCTTCCGAAATACTCCCAGGAGCCTCGAGGTCGTCCGCTGCGATCTTGGCCCCAAGATCCCGCTGCTGCTTAAGGCCTGGTGCAAACTCTGCTGTGCAGCTGTGAGGTGCCATTTTTGTCGATATAGATTTGGCATGCTTCGCTTTTTTGGACTACTTGGCAGGTCGTGACGGAGAGGCAGCTTGTGCAGCTCCACTTGCAGCAGAGCAACCTCTCGGAGGAGGGTGCCTTCCAGCTCGCGCAGGCGCGCGGCCTTGCCCCAGATGGCATGGTCATCGTGGTTTGAAGCGGCACTTCGGGCTCCTCGGAGCTTCTGGGTGGGTCCTCAAAAGCGGCGCACTCCAGGCTTTGCAGACCAACACGACACTTGCGGCACTGAGCCTCGCCCGTGACCGCATCGGCGTCGCTGGTGTCAAGGCTTTGGCTGAGGCCTCGAACTGTTGCCAATCGTTTGCACTTTGCTGGAGGATGTGCAGACTCACGAAGCACGATGCCTGCGCTGCAGGCTCTGCGCACGAACAGCGTTCTGACCGACCTGAACCTGAGCCACGTCTGTCTGGGCAGCGATGCTGTCAGCACTCTCGCAGAGGCCCACCGAGAAGAAGAGCGGCTGCCTCAAGCATGTTCGAAGCCGTAGGAACGCAGCACATCGGCCACCAGTTGGCGAGCAGAATATGCTGAGCTTTGACTCCTGTCTGCTGCCCGTGCATTTGAGCAGTCTGCCAACAACCGCCACATCCTTCAGCGCTTTGCCCGCCATGCCAGAATGTGCAGGCACTCGAGCATAACCAGACTCTGAAGCAGCTGAGCCTTGCGGGCATTGAAAACGCGGAGGAGGGCGCTTTCGTCCTTCTTCAGGCAGGCCTGCTGTTGCGAATGTACAAAGTGCAGCACGCTCACTACGCACCGTCACCCAAAATTTCACCCACCCCAAGGAATCCATCTTTCAGCAGCACTCCCGAACCTCCCTTTCGAACGAATCTCCTTTGCCTGATTTCCACACGTTTTCGCCCCTTCATTCGCGTGGCAGCCGGATGGATAATCTCGGAAGCATTGCCGTGCAGGCGCTCAAGAAGAGCGGTTCAGCAACCCAGCTTGATCTGGGCGACGACGATCTGGGCAAGGGGGCAATGGCAATGGCCAGGTACCTGCGTGTCGGAGAGGCAGGCTCTTTCGTGGCTTCTGCTGTGACTGTGGGTGCTTCTTCGGGTCAAGGGCGACGTCGCCCAGAACGTGGTGGAGTTCATCGCCAGGCACCTTCATGT